CCCCCCGGGGGTGCCGAAGGTGCGGAAGATGTTAGTCGCCATAGCTGAGGGCATATTTGCGGTGTTCTCTTCCTCAGGGGACCTGCAAGAAAGTACGCTCCCCGCACACGTAAGCATGAACCTGCCTAAGGGGCGCTCTCCCATTCCCATAGTTAACGTCACTGTGGGCAAGGGGCTCACTGAGGTACGGGACTCCAACCTTAGGTAGGCGGGGTTGCATTGGCTGGCCCATTAGGTGGTCCGGGGGAGGGGCCCTGGGCTTAAGGCACCCTCCCATCCTCATTTCCCTGCAGCAATATGACAAACTTCCAACATTGTCGCAGCGTGCCCCGATCTCCCGCAGGCTTGGCAGGTCTGGTCTGGCCCTGCTTCCCCTTTCTGTCTCCTAGGGGCTTGGCATTAGGCTCTGAAGTGACCAAACTGACCACGCTTAAAAGACGGTCCCTTACTCTGATCGTCTCTCACGGCCATCGCCGCTACTAACGCTGCTGCTAATCCGTCATTGGTGAGGGGCATTGTTCTCTGTTTCTCCAGTACATACCTAATGATATCTCCCGGAGTATTGAGGTCGCCGGGAGCGGCTCGAATAAGATCCTTAACATTTTTGTGTGATTTCTGTTTAAGACAATCCATGATTACTGCATTATGGGCAATCTTTGGCAGATCTGAGCCTTCTACCACCCAAATCAATCGATTGGCAAAATCCAAGAATGACTCAGATGGACCCTGAGCTATCTCTGCCCAGGGAGCAGAAGGTTCAGCTGTCCTGGAGAACCTTCTGAAGGCTGTCAGAGCTGCTTCTGTGGACGCTATCAGCTCTCCTGGGCGAAGGCGTCTGAACTGGCCCTCGGAGGACCCTGTCATCCCTTCCCCATACCCTAACAACTGTGTCAGGTTACCTCTCCCTGTTTCCTACCATTTGCTGGGTGTCGTGGGTTACATGTCGCTGCTGCGACTACAGCCCTGAGCTGTGCCAACCACTCTTCCTTCCATAACATACACTGCGCTGGCTCGAGTATCACCTGCATGAGGCCCTCTACGTCGTATGAAAGCAAAGGCCCCGGAGCCATAATTGCCTCCAGTGCAGAGAGTGAAACCCACCCGCGGTGACTCTCCCCTCCCCCGCCCGGATCCAAACCCAACAGATCTCTGGCAAGGTTTTGAGCAGTCTTTTCTTCCCTCGCTGCCTTCAAAGCCCCCCGAATCAAACCCCAAAATTTAAGCACCGACGCCCCTTGGGACAACATAGCTCTCTGAGCGAGCGCTAATGTCAAAGAGTCCCACTTGCCGGAGTCACAAATCTCATAAGGAAAAGAGAGAAGTCCCTCCTTTTCAAGAAAAGAGAAGACCGCGGCCACCTCGTTCTTACAAGGGGCAGTTTTCCCGCAGTACGTTTTACAAGCTTGATATAGTACCTTAATGACGGATTCCATCGTCGCCCAGGGAATTCAGACCCTCCGCGACCTTCCACCAGCTACCTTGGTGGGATAACTTCGCAGCGCTGCTCTTAGCCCCAGGGGATCAGCCCCTCCGGCTCTTCCCCCACCTTACCACTGCAGGCTCCTGCGGCCGTTCCGCAGCCAGCTGTCACACTTCCACAAGTGAGACTTCCTCACGCGGGGCACCATTTGTCGCCTTTGTTTCGGCGACTCTGGCTGAAGTCCCTTTGTGAAAGTGTTCCGACAGCCCCAGTCAGTTTTGCGCGCTTTTCATGGCACCAATATGGTGAGCGGCAAAATGGGTTTGTTGCAAGGAGCACACCCTTAAAGCTTTCCCCATGCCTTAGGGCTACTACAGTTACCTCTGACCAATGGACATGTGGCATGTCTTGTTTCCTCCTTATTTGGTCTAACCTGTTCTCTCTTATCTTCAAGACATTTGTTGCTATGGTTTCCCAAGGGCCAAGGGGCCCCTGTGGACCCTGGCGACTGCCACAGCCCATTCAGTTGACTACACAAGAGCAGTAATTTAACATTTGGAGAAGAAGAGCAGCCTGTCTGGCAGAAGTACGGGCAATTGTGATGTGAGTCTCTGTCTTAAGGATTGTGCCCGAAGGCGTTGTCTGTACTGATGTCACAGGAAGAAATATTTTCTTGTGTGAAGAATTCTTGCACTAGTGTGTATGTAGCAGACCTGGACGTGCTCCTGCCGTGGTTCAAATCACAAATTGACAATGGAAGAGTTGTTTCAAATGTTCATTGTGATGGTACAGTCTGACCTACCATGTTTAGACTCACATGCCTAACCCCAACTGAAGTTTCAGCCAGTGTTTTGTAAGACTCATAACAGCAGGTTATTCAAGTACAAAGAAGCCTAAGAGAAATGCCTGTCTAAACTGGGTTGAAATTTCTTATCTCAGGAGTACTTTTGAACAGCTATCTTACTTGTCTTGTGATTCTCCACCACTGTCCCACACGATATTTAACGTGAATATTGAGTTGGGCAGGCAGGAATTAATTTCTTGATGTGGTGTGCATCACAGTCTTGATATTAGTGAAAGGTTCCATTATTTTATATTATTTTTCAATTTAGTTTGACATTGAGTAGCTTGTCTGTTTCAAGTGGCAGTGTTTTGCATTTCATTTTGTCTTGACACCATAATGCCCATACAGTTACGCTACATCATCCTGCTTGCAGTGATGTGATAAAGCTGCATTCCATCTGAAGCACCAGTGCAAGCATAATGGCTGTGATGGCAGCTTAGGCTAAAGCTCTATAGAGTTGTAAGCTGTTTCTTTTTAGGCGAGTGGTTTTATTTGAAGAGTCTTTGCGAGGCTAATTCAAGATACTTCATTCATTTTTTTCCCGGTTATCATTAGATAAGCCGTGTCTTTTAGAACGTTTAATCTTCATCAGACTCCTTAAAATGAAAAATTCAAATGGACCTTCCATTTCTAAGGCATGCCAAGTGGCAAGTGCAGATTTTCAGTGTTGCATGCCTCAGGCACATAAATCTGGAAATTTGATTGATTTTTTGATTGCTGATTTTTTTTTTTATTAATAGAAAGCCATGTTGCTAGCCATGTAATTGAAGTGCTGCATCAGAAATACGTACAACTTCAGAGAGAAGACACTGAGCCTGAATTTCACCATTCCATCTTTTGATCTAGAATTTCATTCTTGAATTTTTACCAGGCTGTCTAAATAGAGACATATGGTCAGAGTTGGATTTGACCTCTTGAATTTGTTACTGATTTCTAGAATGGCAGCTGAGAAGACTTTGAGCTTTATTTTCACATTCAGTTAAGATGGGTTGCATGCAGTTTTTCCTGTATATTTTCTTAGCCTTGAAATTTTTAAAATTTTCCACAGAATCTGCAAAATGGTTGAGCTTACAGTAAATTAGAAGCCATATCTTCGCCTGAAAGTCTGCAAATGCATATAACTGTTGTAAACAGTGAAATTCTGTAATTTTGCTGTGGGACCTTCCCTGTGTCTATTCTCTGAATATTCTCTTTAGCTGAAGTATTACATATCCAGCATTTCTACTAAATGAAGCTGTTTTCTATCATGATATATTTTACTGGTTGAGTGTTTGTGCACTGCACATATAATACCTTGCTTTTCTGTTAATGGGAGACATGCACGACCGAAGAGCCAGCTTGAATTTATCAGTTGTTTGTCAGTAATAGAAGGAAGGAGAAAACAGATGGCTGTTCTTGCAGTGCATTTCCTTCCAGAATTAATCCCTGTGTTGATGTGACTATCTTGCTGGGATGGATGTTTTCTGTCCCAAAAGGAATGCTCTTCAGACCACAACCTCTTGTTCCAAGGCTGTGGTTCAGCACTGCACTACCTTTGGCAGCAAAGCGTTCCTGTTCATGCCACAGCGCTTCGTCCTTTCAGTTGCAGCAGAGGTGCTGTGAAACAGCTTGGGAAAGATTGCTTAGTTTAAAAACGGGTTGTAAAATTGGTGTGTGGGTGATGGGGTTTTTTTGAAGCTCCAGGATCTTATCCCTAAGTCTCCGATTGCCTGTGTAACTAAAGAGGTGGTGTGCAATGGCACACAAGCAGGAATACCCTGAGCTGCTGTTGTTACTGAAGGGCATGTAGTATTGCAGTATGATTTGACATTTTTCTTCATAGCCACTCCAATAGCATAAATTCTAAATGAAACCTAGACTCTTAAACATCTCTCAATCCCTGTAAAAATGGTGTTTATTGTTTGGAGGCTTGTGCTTGTCTAAGTCAGCCTGTCCTAAACATTAAGGTATGACATGGGGTCTAGGTAAGCCAACTGTGCCAGATCTGTGCAGGTTTGTGAATGCCTGCATTCTCTAAGTCAGGTGCTGAGTGCTCCTGGCACAGATACTGGAGCAATGCTGGACAAAGATAATTAGAAATGTGCATCTCAGCCTGGTCCAGTAGTGCTTTGCTGCAAGTATGCAGCAGCAATGATCCAGTGGAGGCATTCCACACATTGCACAGGTGTGCTGAAGCCTAAGATAGGACATACATATAGTAGGTACAGTGGTTCTTGGCATCACTGGGTTTACTACAAGCGCTGTAGAGGGCCTAGCTAAGTTACGCAGCTTGAGTTTCTGGGAAGGGTTGGATAGGCTGAACAGTGTGCATGTGGTGTGTAGATGACCTCGGCATACTTAAAAGCAGAGAAAGTTCTGCTCAGAGCACACACATCCATACATCTTTAGGAGCTCTTAGCTAGAAATGCTGTAGTCCTCTTCTCTGAGGACGTCCAGTAGACACCTGCTTTGTAAGATTTCATCCCCAGTACGACTCGCTGTTGATAGGGAAAGTCCATATAGATATGGGTGAGCAGAGCTAATGTTCTAAAGCAGTTAAAAGAGCTAAAAGGCAGAAGTAGAATAGTGTTCTAGAAAGGATGTTTTCTTGGCAAGAGGTGCAGTTGTAGCATGGGCATCAGTGAAACTGGGAAAGCTGCAGTCATCCTCCTCCAACCATGCTTTTATACCCTATCCCTTGCACTGGTGGACACTCAGCTGATCTTCTCCCGAACCAGTTCCAGGTGCCAAACAAGGAACAGTCTCATTCTGCACTCCAGAAGGATAGTTTCTAGCCAGTTTAGCTACTGAAATGAACCTACATTTGATGTCAGTAAATATCTTCACTGTTAACGTCCCTGCACACGATGCTGGGTCTGTGCAGAGCAGTCAGTGATTTGCAAAGAACTTCACTGGACAATAAGCTTTCAACCTGTGCTATTTGGTGTTTTGGAGTAATCAGTGAGGTGTTTCTCTGGTATCTTTCCCTTAAGGAGAAGACAACAGTACAGCTATATTTCAGTCGTGTAAGGCAACATTTTAGCTTTGAGAAAGTATTATTCTATGATTCAGTGCAGAAACACCAAGGATGGATTTGAAACTGTAGTAATTGTCTCTGGACTCGAGCATAGGTGGGCTGAGCATAAGGGGATTCAGAAATTTGTAGTTTTGAATATGTAATCTATTATCATTTATTTAATGTTGATTTTCTGAACCTAAGGTATAAGATAGTTTAAGATGTAAAATATCTTTGCATTTAATATTCCATGTTATGTATTTTTCATACTATCTTTTTTTTTGCAGACTTTTTGGTGGAAAGCCTAGTAAGCAAGTTCCCATCACAACAGCAGAAAATATGAAAAATTCAGTAGTCATCTCCAATCCTCATGCTACTATGAACCAGCAGGGTAATCTTGATTCACCATCTGGCAGTGGTATACTAAGCAGTGGGGGCAGCAGTCCTCTCTATAGTAAAAACACAGATTTGAACCAGTCTCCACTAGCTTCTAGTCCCAGTTCTGCACATTCAGCTCCTTCCAACAGTTTAACATGGGGCACCAACGCAAGTAGCTCTTCAGCTGTTAGCAAGGATGGCATTGGCTATCAGTCTGTCAGCAGTCTTCATACCAGCTGTGAATCCATTGATATCTCTCTGAGCAGTGGAGGTGGGCTGAGCCATAACTCCTCCGGGAGCTTGATTCCAGCCTCTAAAGATGATTCTCTGACTCCCTTTGTCCGAACCAACAGCGTTAAGACCACACTGTCTGAAAGGTTAGTAGTTATTTTCTCTCATTTCCATATACTCGTATGTATTTCCAGTGTGAGTGAGGTTCTGTCAGCAGTAGGCAAGAGTTTAGCTGCAGTTCAAGTTCTGCTTCTTGCAACATGGTGTTGAATGAGATTACTAGAACAAACTAAGTAACCATTCTAGGAAAGGAGAGCAGTTCAGAGCAAGTGGATATGTTCAGGTGAGATTTTTCATTTGCTATGGTAATATGATAACTTTTCTTGTTACCGTATTATACTTAGAATGTGAATTTTGCATCACATATCCTTTCTGAGTTACTTGATCTGTTGGTGGTGTTCAAAAAAACTTCCAGCATTATGACAGTTTTAATATGAGAAGCTATTTCTTCTTGTTTAGCTCCTTGCTTATAGCATTTGATAAAGGTGGAATCTGGGCTACCAGTGCTTGTGTGTTGTGATGACGGCAACAGTTTATGAAAAGATGTGATTTGACAAGCTTTTAGATTGGAGCTCATGCTGAAAAGTCCCTGTCTTTGTGGTCACTTGATCCCTTCTCTGCCTCTCCCTCCTGCCCTCTATCCCATATCCAGCTGCCCTCTGCATTCTTCTGATGGAGGTGTTTGTGTGAATGCATTAAACAAATCAGCTGGGATTTGGATTCAATTGGAAAATGGTCACTTAAATTGTATTTCAGGCTGATTGGTTTCCCAGCTGTCATCAGTAGCTGGTAGGAGTGGGGAACAGGCTTGATCAGGGAGGAGGGAACATGCTTTTCCAGCATGTTGAGCTAGCATCTGGATAAGACAGAGACTTGCAAGGCGTGCTCTGTTGTAGAAGGTGGTACCCCACAAGTGTTGGAAATAAGCTACATCCTGATGTCTAATTATGCAGTCAAGTGACATGATTTTTGCATTTGCATCTTAATGCCGAAGTTACTGCTGAATGTAATGTTCTGATGGTTTGGGTTTCTGTTTATATTTTATTGTAATTCCTTTCTGTTCTCTCCTCTTTTTCATTCTAATATTTTTCTGTCTTACTGGACTGGTTCTTCTAGCCCTCTTTCTTCCCCTGCTGCTAGTCCCAAATTCTGCAGAAATACTTTGCCCAGGAGGCAGGACAGGTAATGCTGTCTCAGGACAGTAGAATGCACAAGGCTGTAGGTTTTGTTGCCCATCTTGGTGACGCAAATTGTTTTGTGAAAGATGTGCTCAGTCGAGTCCTCTGCTGTGTTCATTGTTCAGCTGTGAACTGACACAAAGACATGCCAGTGAGAGTGCACTCAAACACCCCATTTATCTACCTAAATCTGGATTATGGCATATGGCAGAGATGGCATGTTCTTCTCATTGCTCTTGATACTGGGAACATCTTTTGATTTGGGGTTGGTTTGGTTTTTTTTCTGAACATTTGCTCATTTCTTTGCCAATTTTTGTTCTGTCATTCGAAACTCTCACTAGCATTTCAGCATCCTTCTGGCATGCTGCTTTTCTCACTGCGTTTCAGGCTTGTCACTTATGTCGTGAAGTCCCAGTGTCATTCAGTGTTGTCAGTCCTTTATTGCAGTTTGCTACATGAGTGTTTTGTGGGGGCTTGGGTTCAACCATCCTTCTAAAAATGAATGTAAAAAAGATGACCCGAATCAAAATGTTTCAGTTTGCTGATGGAATTTAAGCTGAGATTAGTACACTTAAACAGCTCGATCCTGTTAGTCCCATAGCACGCAGCTGAAGAGTGCCATCAGGCTGCATTCCCAATGTGTATTGCTGAGCAGAGTGGCAGGAAGGTGGTTCTGGCCAGCAGATTCTCCTCAGTTTTCAGAAATAGCCTGTCGAAATGGGGATTTTTAAGTGTATGCTGTACACGCAGTATTTTTATGTTCATTGTGGACGGGAGAAATGACAGAATCACTCTGTGAGCAGATGAGTTTCATTAGCATGGTGTCAGCTGCATGCCTGTGAAAAACCACACCTGGGGAAGGAGGTTTTTGCATGTTCCTGTAGGAAGGCCCCAGCACTTTTTTCCTCTGAAGAGGTGATGCAGATGTTTGCACTCCCTTCTTCGCTCTGACCTTAACCCTTCCCTGTGTCCTTCTCTGAAGTTCTTCTCTTTTAACTTTTCTGCAGCGACCCACATCTTGATAGGAACACTTTGCCTAAGAAGGGACTCAGGTATCGGTGTTTCCACACAGTTTAACGGCTTTTGTGGTGGCTTTGGAGTTTGCCTTGTGTTTCTGTTGTGGCTGGTGGTGATGGTCGCAGTGCTTGCAAGAGGTGGCAACAATCTTTCTTCCTTTTCTTCTTTTCTTTCTTTTTTTCTTTTTCCCTTAATTCATAAAGGAGGTCATTTTCTACTGTGCTTTTTCTTTCTTTTTTTTTCATCCTTGTCTGCTTAAGCAAGAGTTGTGGCTTTTGCTGGAAAGCACCTCATCAGCCTTCATTGGGCTTGCTTTGGAAGCAATGATTTTGCTGCTTTTGTTGCTCTTACGTGCAGTGACATGAGATTATGTTCACCCCAGTGTCCTTGGTGTTTGTACAAAAGCAGAAAATATTTTCAGAATCATCCTAAACCTTTTAGGATGGGTATGGACCTACTCACTTTACAGAAGTTATTTTCTTCTGAATCCTTAAGCACACAGGCATCTCAGAGATCATTTCTACTTATCTAGAAAAGAATTCCCAAAGAAACCTCTAGCAACTGCCTTCTAATGCATCTTGTGCCGCTCTAAGAGTGTGATTTTTACGATGTACAACGTTGCACGGACATTTTTTTTTATTCCATCCATACAAGTGAGACTGCCAACATGAGGTCTTCTAATTAAACACTTAGTGTTACAGCATTTATAGGAGATATCAAGCAGTTTAGGAAATCTGTCACGTCAGAACTGCTTAATGCAGCTTGCAGGATCTCTGAGTTGGTGCCTTGAAATGGCAGCTGCAGTTAGTTCTGTGCTCTGTGCATCGTTCTTCACAGCAGCTTTGTCCCATGAAGCTGAGTGCTAAAAGGCTTTCTTAATCTGGAATTTTGTTTAGAATGTTTGTGTGGTGGTCGAGTGTGTCTCTAATATGTGAAGACTCTCTCTTAAGACTGAGGCATTTGAGTGCTGAAGAGGTTGGTAGCGATCATGCAGAAGCCTCCCATTCTTAATAAACTGATATATGTGTCAGGTTTACCTTCAGAAAAGGCTCAGTGTAGTCTCCGTGTTGATTATTTAATTATTTAAATTATTTAATTTCATTTTGAACCAGATGAGATGCACCTCCCGTTAATGTCTCTTAAATTATTGGGTTCCCAACTTGTTTAAAAATCTGATAATGAATTTCTTGACTTGGATTGTAGTATGACAGAAATCCAGCTAATCTTAGCACCAACATATTAAAATAAGGATAAAATAAGGATTAAAATGAGGTTTTGGCATATCCTAAGGAAAGGAAGGGTTTTCCAAGCTTTGTCTTTGTTTTTCAGTCATACCTATGTAACACATACTGCACTTGATTCTGCAGTACTACAGTACGCAATTTCTACTGGTATCTTTTTGTTAACTGCTAGTTGGTTATTGCTGAGGCTGTAGGAAAGGAGAAATCTTTACATTTTATATACAAGTTTTTCCATCTTTTGTTCCCTCTCTCCCTCCTCAAGCTTTGTGACATTTCATGGTTTGTTTGTTCGTTTGTTCTTCTTTCTTCATTCAATAGTTGCCAGGGTTCATTTTGAAAGAGCCTGTTTGCTTTGTGCAGGTATACTCCTTCCTCCCAGCTTCGTAGCCAGGAAGATGCAAAAGAATGGCTTCGCTCGCATTCAGCAGGGGGGCTTCAGGACACTGCTGGCAATTCTCCATTTTCATCAGGATCCAGCATAACATCGCCTTCTGGAACTAGATTTAACTTCTCCCAGCTTGGTGAATAACAAATGTTTTTTGATAATCATAGCAATACTTAGTGTGCTTAGAAAATAGCAGATGACATAGTGTAATGGTATTGCAGCAGCTCCAAGTACTACTTTGAACCTTCAGGAAGCACTTTTGTTGAAATTAGTGTGACTAATCAGCATTGGTGTCTTGCGTGCCCAAAGGTGGCATAGTTGCAGTAACATCTGAAAGTATTTCCCTTGGAGTCATCAGATGCCTTAATCTAAATTGAGAGCTATTAAGCAGAGCTATTAATTAATATCACACGTTCCTGTGTTTGAAAGAATGAAAATGTTGCCTGCCTGCTTACTAATGTTTTAAAGGCCAAGCATATCACTTGGTATCTCTCTGTCTGTATCAGCTGGCTGATTTGAAAATTTAACAAAACTGGGTCTGAAATAATAGGCAAAAGCAGGGGAATTATACCTCAGAAAAATTCTTTAACTTAATTACACTGATAAAAGTAAATGAAGGAAACAACAGAAGGAGCTTAATATGATCCATGGTAGGTTTTAGTTGACCACCCATGTGTCTGAAATAAACTGTTAGCATGCTAGATTATCTGGAAACAGGCAGTCGTAGGACACCCAGAGAAAATTATGAGTTGAACAGCAAATCTGTTGTTTTCATTTTTCCAAAAATTATTGTTAAATAACGGGAATAATTTATCACAAAAAGTGCTTTAAAAAATGTGAAAACTGGAATGGAAGTTTTATACTCTAAGCACTGGCTGGGAGAGCATTGGCTCTCAAGGCAAAATTGATGTTTCTGTGGTATCTTTTAATCTGCAAGTTCTGCAAGAATTAATGCCTGTGTGCTGCTTAGAATTCTTAGGACCTCATAGGGGAAGTAAACTGTTCTGAAATAAACAACTATTGGGAACCTAAGGGTCTTAAATTTTCCAACTTCCTCTAAGTACACATAAAAATACCATTCTCTGGGAACCTGAAGACTTCTAAGGAGATCCTTCATGAGGCCTGTTCTGTGTAAGCAAAATATTAGTTTAAATTCGCCTGGGCATTTTACACCTTTCTGAGGAAGGGCTGTTTCAATTTAAATGAGAATTAATTCATGAGTATGAGGTGTTACTGAGTTGACTGAGTTTGCCTGTAGAAGCATGGACTTATCACCCAGTGTTTAGAATGACCTTATTTACTTGAATTTTCTTGCTTATTAGCTTGATTTGCATGCCTCTTACTTGAATCCACTGAAATTAGAAACATAATGAAGTCCAGAGTGGGTGACATGAAAAATTTGTGTCTCAAAATAAAGAAATGTTTTCTGATAGCTGCGCCAACATTGAGCGTGAAAATTTGTGGTCACACAAATAAATTGTCATTTTATCTGTGCTTTACAGCAAGCCCAACCACTGCAGCCCAGATGAGCCTGTCAAATCCAACCATGCTGCGGACTCACAGCCTTTCCAATGCAGATGGTCCCTATGACCCTTACAGTGACACCCGCTTCAGAAACAGCTCCATGTCCCTGGATGAGAAGAGCAGAACTATGAGCCGCTCTGGCTCATTCCGTGATGGCTTCGAAGAAGGTCAGTGCAGTATGTGGCGGTGGAAATGAGCAGAAGATGGCATTCTCACCTAAACCAAATGTAAATTTAGTGCTTCATTTCAGCATGTGGGTCACTTCAGAGCAGTTTTCTACGTAGCATTCTCTGATTCTGTTTGTCTTTGTTCCAGTGATACTTAGTGATCCTTCTGCTGAACGTAGGATGGCATATAAGTATTCTGCACATATAAGTGCAGAAATTGTTTAAACACATCCTGTACTTAATTTTTAGTGATCTTCTCTCAATATTTTAAATTCATGTTTGGAGTTAGCCAATTAAACTGTTTTTTTGAATAGGCATATCCATCTGAGCCTAGGCCTCCATACTTCTGTTTGTAGAATAAATAATTGACATTGGTCAGACTGTTGTTGCTCTTCCATCTAACTTCCAAGTATTTGATCTGTAAGGGGTTTGTCTTTGCTTGGTATTTCTGCTGAATGCTGTGGATTCATATCTGCACAGCATTCACGAGAGAAACCTGAATAGTTCTTCAAAACATGTGGACTTTTTTTTCTTCCTCATCCTCATTTCAGGCATATTTTCATGCGTATTTGATAAAAGAAACTCAAGTAAGTACAGGAATAAAATGTCATTTACTTGTAAATGAGTATTTTATTTGATTTCTACTGATCATGTGTCCTTGTGGCTGTTTGAAGACCAAATAGCCTACTCAAGCTCTGTGTACACACCAAAAGCCCCATATGGCTGCATGCCACAAAACATCACCGTGCACTTTGAGAAGTTATAGGAAGATGACAGGATTAGCTTTTCCAGTCTTAAATTTCTTTTCTGGTAAGGACTGGGAATTTGGTTGAGTAACAGGTGCTTTACCAATACAGCTCATACAAGTCTTTTCTGGCTTGCTGCCACTGCTAAAGCTTGGTGCTTGTGGCAGTGTGTATGCCAGTGTCCTGTGGTTGTCATGCACTACAGCATCCAAGCCATGCGTATATGCTCATAGGAGTCTCTTAGAGCCACCAGGTGCCTTCCTGTGGATGCTGGTTATTCCATCTGTTTTCTGCCATTGGAAGGGATGAAAAATGTGTATTTGTGTATGTGTATTTGTATTGAAAATATGATATGGCTTCAGACAGATTCATGGCGAATTCGTTACTGAATTCAGCCAAACTGTAACTCCATTACATGCAGTTGTATTTTAGAAGCCCATGGCTGAGCATCTTCATTAGGGGTTGAAAATGAGAAGAATAACCCCTCTAGGGCTCAATCTGTGTCGCTGCAGGAGTTGACCTTTCTTTGTGCAACACTTTCAAAAAGATAGATAATCAAAGAAGGTCAAATACTGCCTGATACTTATTCAACTGAATTCTGTTCTGGGATGAACAGTTCTCTTACTAAAGAGGAGGTTCTTTTGGGAGGAAGGGTCTCAGGACCAGGGAGATGGCAGGAGAAACAGCCTCCAAACAATCCAGATATTTGGTGAGCAAGCACAGCCAGAACAGTCTCATGGTTCTCCCATTTCTGCACTTCCCTGGCAGTGCCTCCTCACCAGGAGCTGTATTGCTGCTGGCTTTACACTGAGGTTTCATCCTCCAAGAGAGACAGGAATTGAATCCATTGTTGTTGGGATATGAATGTTTATTCCTTTTTGTGCTGCTGGCTGAAATATCTGCTGTTCTTTCTGCTTTGGGGGCAGTTGATCGTGACTGGGCTTCTTCTTTTCTAACATTAAAAAATGCGACATGCTTACATATGCATTTATAGAGTTTTCAAATAATAGCTCCAAAACAATCTGGGTTTGTAATCTGCATGCAGATGTGGGTTAACTGCAGCAAACAGGAATCATGTGAAGAGCATAGCTGCCTTCAGGCTCCTAATTAAATAACCTTGAAGAAGCCATCTGCAGAAAGTTTACCACGAAATTGAACAAAAGTATTAATTCCTTGGTTGCCCTTGACACTAGACATATTTGCACATTCAAATGTTGCAGTTTTACAGGGTAGGAGTGTGATTTGCAGAGTTGTAAATTCTCTCCCTTTTTTCGCTGTTTCTTTCCTCTAAGACCCAATGCAATCTTAATATTCCCAGGCAATGTGAATTTAAAAAATTGTGTCTCCCATTCCATTTTAAGGAGATTCTCCTCTTGTTTGAGCAGTTGGCAGAGAAACTTCTCCGAATGTATCTTTTATATAGACCAGGTGAGAAATTTTCCTCTTGGAAAATGATGACTGAAGAGATGATAACATATAATTCAGTGTATTGCAAAGAGGATGGTTATCCATTATTTCTCGTACCATCGAGGTCTGGAGACACTCAAGGAACATTCTGAGGGATTCAGCAGCAGTTCTGATACAACTGCAAAATGTATTTCTAAACCAAAGCAGAAGTTTTTAATACAGATAAAGTATGTCAGTGAATTCAGAGGAAATTGAGCAACTTAATGGTGGATCGTAGTGACTATGAAAAATAATGGTCTGAATGCAGCTTCCATCTCAGGAATTTCCATCTCTGCTGATTCCCAGAAGATGCAAAGGTGTACCTGGTGAAAAATCAGCAAGAATCTGCCTTGTTTCATTTCTTTCCCTGAATATCTGCTGTAGTTGTGGCCAGAGATGCAACATGTGATTAGGCAGTCTTTGGGCTTGACTCGTTCTGGTTATTCTTATGTTCTTACTGCAGTGCAGTCCTTAATATCTCACTGTAAAGATCATTTTAATTGAAAACATTATTAACCAGAAAGAGTAAATGGATATGAGGGTATTTTTTGCATTGTTATGTGTTTTTTCTTTTAATTGTATTAAATTCCTCCAGAAGCCGACTTAGACTTTGTTCACTTCTCTTTCCAGCCTCGCCTTAGGATATAATGTCAATGTGAAAACAGAACCCATTTATTTTGAGCGTAGGAGAATTTCAGTAGGTAATTAGAGCACAATGGCAGCTTTTCTCAGTTTTGGTTGGTTAGTTGTTTTTATTTTTTTTTTCTGGAGTATTTAGATGAAAGAAAAAGAGATTTCGCCTGATTGGTGTGAAGTTATCTGAAGTTTGAATGAAGGTTTCAGTACTTTGTTTCTAAAAAAAAGAAATTGTGCATGTTCCAGTAGCTCAGATAATAGCTTCAGGTAGTTGTTCTGAACAGCGTACTCAAGAAGAAGTGTTTAGATCACAAACAGACAGAGCTGTTTCAGAAGACAGTGCTGACATCGCACTGTAGTGATTTCTGATGGAAGTGCTCCAAACCTTCTGGAGCGTATGCTTGCATCCTGGAGCTGGGCATCATGTTCCTCTCAGGCCATCTTTATCCTGCTCTGTGTTCGGACTGCTTAAAGAAAAGAGCTTCCCCCCAGTCTCAGTAATGCCAAAGATGAAGCAGTTAGGCTTACTTCTGTAATCTCTCCTGCTTTACAGTTATCTCTTTCTCCTGAGTCTTAAGATGAGGCTGTCGAGAGAAATGCTTCTTTCTAAATAAACCTCCATTGAAACTTTTCTTTTTAATCTTGGCAATGGCACCTCTTTCTCCAAGAAAACTTGTAGTATTCAACTGTTAAAACAGCTTTACCAAATTGGATACCTGGCCATCTCTTCTTCCAGCCGAACGTTGTGCAGTAACGTAATTAAGTTTATGATGGGTAATGATGGAGGTATTTTTTCAGTATGCAAATAGTTGGTAATAGATGATCTGTGGCGACCACCGTGTGGTCACTGTATTCAGTTTGTTTATTTTCTTTCCTCCAGTGCATGGTTCTTCTCTCTCTTTGGTGTCCAGTACATCATCTATTTATTCGACAGTGAGTATAATGGAATTAATTGTTTTGCTATATTAATCACAGTGGGAGAATAACTAGTCTTTTTGTTCCTGTTACTATTGTCATTCAAGGAAGAGGAATGCTAGCTATGAGAGAAATGTTTGTCTTCATAAAGATACCTCTAGATATTTAGCAGCATCCTCATTAAACAGAGATGATAATACTGTAAAAGCAGCAGTTCATTGTTTGAGTCAGTGCTTTACAACTCTGCTGAATAGATTTTGCTGCTAAAGACCTCAGCAGAATTAAGGAGCCTTGAACTTAATTCAAACTTGGGTGCTTCAAGTCATTCTAGCTTTGTATTTTACTGCTGAAGAAGTTTGAATAAGTGGTTCGGTGTCCTTGGTATCCAAGCGAGATAGATTAAAGCTGGATCGTGCATTCCTGGCAGACTATGATCACAATTTAGGAGGTTTCTAAAAATTGGATTCTTTTAAAGAAATGAGTGATAGATGATTACTTCATAAATATATGTGCATTGAACAGAATCTTTCCTTTCAAATCATTATGTGAGTATGATGCAACTCTACAGTAAGCACATTTCCACAGCTGAAACAAGCCAAAGTGACACCTGGTGAAAACAGGGAAGGGCTTGCTCTTGGAAGACCATACATAACTGTTTGTGGAGTCATCCAGCCAGCATAGTGTTATTTCTTGTATCTGTTTCACTGATAAGCAAAGAACATGTGTGACGTGGCCTTAAGGCCTTGATAATCATTTCAAAATATTGCCTTCCATTATGAACCTTGCCTCAAGCAAGGCCTGTGTGGAGCCAAAACAGATAATGGATTGGAAGGATGGAAAACAGACCTTTCCTTGTAGCCACAAGAGCCACAAGGAAAGTAGTCAGCAGCTACTGCTTATGATTCTGATTCGTGTGCTTTCTGTCCTAGCCTGAATGGTTCTTAATAGTGTGGTTTGACGAATATAATTTTCACAGTGGCTGGTACTGGACATGCTTATAGAGTGTGTGACTTTTTACTGTGTCCTCCTCCTTGCTGATTGCTTTGGTTAGAAACAAGCCACAGTAGCCAAAATTTTGTCATGCAGACCACAATGGATGGTCAATACATCCACTTTACATACTCAGATAACTAGTTGTGTGTCCTCAGTTTTTCATCACCACAGTGCCTAGACAGCACCAAGTGGTAGTAATTTTCTTCAGATCGCTGTGGATGCAAAAGCATGACCACCATCCCATAGAGAGCTGAGCGTGTGAGTTAGGGAATTGCTAAGGATCTCCCATGGCCTGTGACAGTCCTGTCTCTTCTGAACCTCATGGAATTCCTTTTGCACTGAGCCAGGACTTCAGCCTTTCATGGCTCAGACTCAACGGTGTGCTGGCTTACAAGTCGGGAAGTAGAGGCAAATTCCTTTGTGTAGGAGGAGGTGCTATACAAGCAGCCTGCTTTCTTTATCCCAAGCAAGTAATCTAAGATGGAGTATGGATGTGAAAATCCTAAATAAGAAATTACCACTTGAGTTTTTGAAAATCATATTAATAATAATGATGATAGTAGTTAAGATTTTTGTACTGTTTCCATTGTAATGTTCTTACATATTTTCCTCCGGTTTTGTTTTGTAGCCTGAAGAGAAGTGCCAATCAGAGGTAAGAGCAGTTTGTGTTTGACAGGCATAAATAATCTGTCAAGACACCTCGTTTTCTGTCTTACTGTTCTACTGCTCCATATCACAGTGCAGTAAAGAGATCTCTTAAAATAACACAGATTCGCAAGCTACGAAGAGAGTTGGATGCATCCCAAGAGAAGGTATCAGCTCTGACAACTCAGCTGACTGCAAATGTGAGTACAACTCAAAGGATAAACTCTCAACAGGGAACGCATTTAATGCACCAATTACCACTACAGTTTTTGTAAATAATAAAAAAAAAAACAACAACAATAACAACAGAACAAAAGAAATGTGAATAATATTCAGTTTGTATTACCTATGTATTTTAAAAAATAACTGCATGCGTATGTGGGTCCTTATGAAAAATAACACGCTCAGTCCTACTGAGTTACCTTATGCCTTCCTTTATATACTGAATTACAGTGTTTGCTTTGCTTTAAAAGTCTGATAAAAACCGCTTCTTCAGATATTGAGAGAGTCGTTGAAGACTGGCTCTTTTGTTTGTTATTTTGTAAGTAGTGCCTTGTTTTGATATTTGAGTGGGATGAGATACAAATGGCTGAAACTGGCAGGAATAAAAATGGATAGAAACTCGGATTGCAAAGCATTATGTTTTCCTATTCCATAAATAGAGTGATAGGTAATAGTGGCATAAGGGGCTGTGAAAATTAATTTACAGTTGCCTGAAGACTGAACATGCCTGATTTTTGTCGGTGCAGGCAGTACGTCTGGAATTTGGTGTTTACACTTGGAGAAAAAAGAGTTGAAGCCAGGAAGTGTTGAGGCAATGCTATGCATGACCCTGAGCAAGTTTATTTGTGTGTTCTCTTCTGCAGTCACGGATAGAAGTAATGTAAAAAACAGAAGCTTGCTGCAAAAATAAGCAGTTCTAGGGTAAACAAGCTGCAGATGAGCAGTCATCAGCTTGGATCATACTGACATCCTCAGTTGTGGGAATAGATAAACGTAAGCGCACATGCTACTGAGGAGGACATTGGTGTCCATCAGCTCTTTGAATACTAAACTTGGCAAGATTCCGTTACATGTGTTGTTTGTTAATCCATGTAACCCTGTTTGCTTCCTTTCTCTTTTTTTTTTAAACTCTTGCAGTGTTTGGACGAGTATCAGCATTTCACACAGCCCCCACCGTTCTCTGCTCTCCCAACAGAAACTTTGCAGTCTGCTTTTTAAACAAGTGCTTACATTTTCAAACACATGTAGCAATGGTTCCGCTTACGTCTTGCTATTTTCTCACAGCCTCAGATCTGCTTATTTTCATAGAGGCTGATGGGAATGAGAGGTGCACATCCCTGTGTTATTGTACTGTTCGTGTTTGTTTGCAGTGTGAATGTGAGAGCTATTATTTCGGATAAGTCAGCCATGTGCTGATGATGACCAAGTCTGGTATGGCTCTGTGCAGGGCTGTGCCATATATATCTGTTTGAGCCAATGTCCATTTCTGCTTGGAAAGATTTGAGACAGTTTTTTTTGTTTTAGGTAGATTTTGAATTGAAAAATGAAATATTTGTTGTGGTACTTCTAGAATATTGTGGCTAATGAGACATACATTGAGCTATGCCTATGTTCAGTTATTTCAACATGTGCATATCTATGTGTACAGTAATAATAATGCCTTACCATGGCACTGGAAACATAGTTCCCATTTATCAAGCTTTCCATCTTCTCAATCTCCTCCTCCTTTATTTTACTTCTCAGTCATTTTCAATTCCTAATGCAGTTAACACTGGGTTCTCAGTGCTTCATGTGAAAAGAACAGAGGGTAATTCATAGAATCACATAATAGAATCATAGAGTGACTTAGATTGAAAGGGACCTTGGAGATCATTGAGCTCCAACCCCGCTGCCATGGGAACTGGCCAAGCACCATGAAGTTCTGGATAGTATTCAGCAGCTTGAACCTTTGTGGCAAGTCAGGTGCTCCCAGGTGTTGGAGAGACCACTGAGTGAGTTGCAGAGCATCAGCTGATGGAGCAGCTTGCAGACTAGCTGCAAGAGCTCAGTAGTGCTGTCTCTGTTCTGCAGCACAGCACGGTGAGCCTCTCTGCCTCCATAACTTCCAGCATCTTTCCACCTTAAGACAGATCTCTTTGTTTTAAGAATGACACTGATAGAGTTAATTGTGCAGATTAATTACTGGCTCTCCTTTACAAGGAAAAGTGGATTGACTTGGACTGGGCACTGACTAGTAAGCGTGACCTGTTAGATAGGTTATATAGAAGAGTACTACAGTTTTAACCAACTTCCTGTGTTTTCTAGTAAACATACAACTTAGAAACCTAAAAGTACTAATTTTCATGCATTTCATGATTTCAATATGGTGAATATCTAGGGATAGAGCTTGATAACTAATATAGAAAAGCCTTAACATGGAAATATCAGTGTCCTTGACTTGAAGTAGTCCACTGCTGTTTTGTGTGAAGCCTGCTATCTCCTAGTGTAAGCAGTGTTTTCAGATATCTGATCTGTTTGCTTATCAGCGGTGGCCTAGCTATGTCTAGTCTGGTTTTCTTGGGAACTTCAGTTAGCATATCAGTGTGTGATAGCATTTTTATGACGTGATTTAGAGCTGTTTTTGAAAAATACTTTTCCTTTGCTTTTTTTTTTTTTTGCTTTTGCAGATATTAAAACTGAAAACATTTTAGGAAACTTTTAGAGCTAATTACAATTCAAGACAATGGGAGTTTTATATATTGCTACCAACATCTGGCAGCAAAAATAGGCAATTTTCTGTCCTTCAGCAGCACTCAGTTGCCTTGTTTGTCTGCAGATACTTCATAAATTGTTAGGAGAAAATGAAGGTGGTGCATTTTCCAGCTTTACCTGTTTCACCCCAAAAGCACACTTAATTTCACTTTTAACACCTTTACTTAAAGCATCTCATGATTTACATTCTTTCACTGTATTTCACTTCTGTAACATGATTCTTGAACATACATTAGTGTCAATGCTTTGATGCTTCAGAAGAGTTAAATAACAACCAGCTATATCCTTGGTCTCTGGAGCTTCTTACAGCATCTTCCTGCAGATTTTTGGAGTTCTTCTATTTGGTTTAGTACAGATGACACAAATGTTCACTTTTCAATTAAAAATTAGTAGCATTTAAGAGAATCCTGAAAATTCTCTGAAGCAAAGTATTCTCTAACCTTTAATTTTCCATTTCAAATTCCAGTTCTGGTTTTCTATTGTGAAAATTCTGAATGCATGGGGAAAATATTGGCACAGAAAATACTAATCCTCCTCTGATAGGAGGAAATGCCTGATCTGCCTTTGTAGAACTTGGTTCATATTGTAGGACTCGGTTTATATTCTATTTATTGCTGTGTTTTGAAAACTTTTTAGGTTATTCTCCTAAAAGTTATGTGTTAGTGGGTTTTCTGGGTTAAGTGTTTTTTTTTGTTTGTTTGTTTGTTTTGGTTTGGTTTTTGTGCTCTCCAGGAAAAAGATTTAAACTTCTTGTAATATGTTCTGTGGCAAGAGTTGCATTAATTCTGAGGGTACATGCATCCCTAAGTAGCCTTATACAGGGCTATATAAGAGCCTTGTACATAGCTAATGTAACAGCCCACGTGAAGAGTCTGAGTTGAAAAATTAACAGCAAGAGATGTTTAGAACCATGGGTTGTTCTGCATCTTTTCTACTCCCTGCTTTTTGTGGTAGGAGGTCCTTCATGTCATTGCTTGCAGTTGGTTTGAGACGCTGCTCAATAACCAAGAAGGGCTTTCCATGTCTGTTTGGTGTCAGGAATATATCCCGGTGACAAGGCTCATTCCCTAAAATGTCTCTGAAAGCCTCCTGGTGTATCCTGGTAGATGTTTCCACAATACATACTCAGCCCTTTGATTCACTGCTATTTTCTCTGTATCGTCGTTTCGACAAACAGTGAAATGCAGTAGGCAATGTGTTCAAATACCTGCACAAATATTGTTTGGGAGAGAACCAAGTGCTTCTGTGTCATTTAATTTTCAGGCCCACCTTGTGGCAGCATTTGAGCAGAGTCTGGGAAACATGACGATCAGACTGCAGAGCCTCACCATGACAGCTGAACAAAAGGCAAGTGTAGAAGTACAATCACAGAATCATAGAATCACCAAGGTTGGAAAGGACCTCCAAGATCATCCAATCCAACTGTCCACCTATCACCAGTATTTCCTACTAAACCATGTCCCTCTGTACAACATCTAAATTCTGTTCACTCTACTCTCTGGGCCTGGCCCTCCAGCCAGTTTTTTACCCAGCAAAGAGTGTACCTGTCCAAGCCAGAGGCTGCCAGCTTCTCCAGGAGAATACAATGGGAGATAGTGTCAAAGGCTTTGCAGATTAAATACATTTCTTCCCTGTGCATTCACACTTGTGTCCAAAAGAAGTGTAGAGTGTTTTCTTGGACAATGGATGTGGATATACATTGTTCCTCTACTACAGAGCATGTATATCTATTGTATGAAAATAATAAGGCTGTGTTGTGTCCTCTTGAGGATGTGCTTCCCCAGGTGTATACCAAACTTCATTTTTCTTTCATTGGACATACATATTACAAAAATTCTGTCAAATCCCAGTGCTTGGACTGAAAACTGGTGCAGCTAGGTACCATCTGCATTTTCTGACATATCACCACTGTTTCCTTTTCTAAGGACTCTGAACTGAATGAGCTAAGGAAGACTATTGAACTACTGAAGAAGCAAAATGCTGCTGCCCAGGCTGCAATTAATGGAGTCATCAACACACCTGAGCTCAACTGCAAAGGTGAGAAGCAAGCACTGCGTATCATGACTGTGCAGTACTTGTGGGATTTGAGTACTTTTGGTAATATCTGATGCATGCAGCTCTACCTGTCAGAGATCTTGTGTGTGTCTCATGACTGTGCACTCCAGTTCCTTGATTTTATATAGTGTGGGGATTTGGAATGGATATCTGTGCAAATAGTGTGGTAAATTCTACAGAAATAAGTGAGTGTGTTAGAATTTGAGTGTGAGCTCACTGAATTTACTGTAAGTGTTCAGTGACTCACCCATCTAAATGCTCACATGAAACACCAAAGAACCCCATTTCAGAACAGTCAAACACTTTTATTTTCTTTGGTGTTTCCTGTAATTTTCTCCAATATGAAGTTTGAATGCAGTCTTGTTGTATCTGTCTTCTGTTACTTATCCCAATCATTTACAGTGGGATGAAATGCTGAAGGAGGTATTTGAGTGGTTTGGGTCTGAGATTTTGATCTCTTCATGAGAAATAAGCATGAGGAGCACTGCATTGAAATAAACAGAACCTCAGTTAGGGTTGGTGATTGATGAAGTGCTTTTTTCCTCTCAAACTCTTCATTTGAGATTAAATGATTAATACAGAATGTCATATTGAACACCTCCTCCATTGATGTGCAGGAACTGGAGCTGCTCAACCGACAGACCTGCGGATCCGAAGGCAGCACTCTTCAGATAGTGTCTCCAGCATTAACAGTGCTACCAGCCACTCCAGCGTGGGAAGCAACATAGAGAGTGATTCAAAGAAAAAGAAGAGGAAGAACTGGGTGAGTGTATGCTAATGGATCGTGTGTGGTTTATATAGAACTGTCGGAACATGCATGGTGAAGTCTAGCTGCTCAGCTCCTCCCTCCCCACATGCAGCAGGTCAGCACAAGAACTAGGTGCTGTTTAAATCCTGCGTAAATACCCTTTAGAAGACTTAATTGAGTTGTAAGTGATGTATATTCTTGTGTTGACTTTGTGTAGGGTTGAATTTTATGTTAACAGCCAAAAGGCCGGTCCTAAAGTAGAAAGAGCTGTCAAAAATCAGTCTGGCTAGAAGTTGTACAGTGCCCAACCCCTCAGGGAAAGCTTCACGTTTGTCATTAAAATAGAACAAGTCCACAATGAGAGATTTGTTATTTTTTTTCTTTTTGCCTTGTAGGCCTTTCTTCTGTTAAGTAAACATGTTAGACACTTTGAGAGCTCTATCTGGAATGTTAGTGTGCAGTTCTACACAAAAAAAATACCAAAATTTAAGAAATTACTGTGATAAACATACATTATTCAGGATTTTGCATTACTTACCTTTCATTTCCCATTTTTCCTTCTTTGCTCATCTTGTACTGTGTACAAGGTACCATGTACTGGAGGAAAGGTACAATATATTAAGCTCCATTTTGAATTAGATCATAAACTGCCTTAGTGACCTAGTCTGAATGTAGTTTGGACTAAAGTCCCTAGATCCCATACTAGCCAGTGAATCATTCCACCCCTTTCCTCCCACCGAATTTAGATCTCCCTGGATCTTTGGGGATCTTTTCTTTAGAGCTACAAAATGCGGCTTGAGTTGGGAGAATCTTGATATATATTTGTACAGTGTCTCCTTGGAAATGTTTATGAAACCTCTTGTACTTAAAGAAAGTACTTCTTGAGCAGGCTCTTATTTTTATTTCTCACAATTGTTTCATTTGAATATCTTGCTAGCTCCTCCGTAACTGTAGTATTGCTGCCCTCCTCGAAAAGCACTGGTTAAAGGGAAGCAATGTCATCTGCTTGTGCAGGGTTATGCATTAATTATAGAAGGAGCAAATTGCTGTGTCTTCAAGTTGTTGGCAACTCTTTTAGTTTTTTGTGACAAGCCTGCTGTAACCATTAAGCCTTAGATAAGGTAAAAACTTCTGAAATTTTTACTTTAGCTTCTGTTCTTTGTCACTGTAATGTAGTAGGTCTCTATATCAGCCTACACTTCTCATTTGACCCAGAACTATTTAAAGAAGTTTAAGGAAACATTATGAAGATGACAGGACAGTGCTTTTATTGTGTTAAATGTGAATACATTGGTGCAAAATGAAGATTGAACATTAATCCAGAGAATAGCGGTCTGCCTTGCACTTAGTTAATTTCACAAACATTGATGTTGTTCTCTACCAAGAACCTTTTGTTACATATGGAAGCAACATGGCTGTCCACTCAGGGCTGAAACGAGATTTTCAACATTTCTCACTAGTCTTTGTCTAATGCAAAAATAACTTACAACACTGTTCACAACGTATGATTTTGAGATAGCCTTAGATTAATTCTTTATATTGTTTGGTAAATGGTAGGCACATTCAAAAAAAAAAATTATTTGCAGGTGTGTAGAAAAGATTTGGTATTTTCAGTATTTTCACTTGGTGGAATACCTGTTCCTGAAAGGAAACGCAAAATATGAAAGTAGCTGTTACGTCGAACGTTTCATCTGAGCCAAGGAGAAAATACAGCTGAAGTAGCTAAAGAGGCCTGGATCAAATATCTTCTTCAAGTGATGCAAAAATGACTGTATGTTGTTTGAAAAACCTGTTTTTAGAAAATACAAGGTTCCAGTTTTAAAGTAGCTCTTATACTGTATTGATTATTGGTCATGTTTGTCTTAGAAATCCAAAGCTTTCCTTATTACAGGCTTTCTCTGTTAAAACTTGTCTTTTTTCCTTCCCCCCACTTCCTCTTGCTTGTGCTTCTTCCGGCAGGTCAATGAGGTAAGGAAGACCTACTTTAAACTATGAGATACAAAGCTAACCCATCCATTTACATGACTAACCATTTCAGCATCATTAACCTTGTCTGAGCCACATTATATTATAGCTGCAAGTTGTTACACCATTGCTCATTTCACTGAACATTTGCTGTAAAAAATTAAAAATAGGAAGCGCTGATGTCCAGCCCTATTGACCTTATTAATCTCATAAAGTAGTTAAGGAAAAAAGCTTTTTGATTCCCTTTTAGCGCTGTTAAAATCTGTGAGTATGGCTTTATTGTTTGGAATATTTGCATGTTGGAGTTTCAGTCTGTGGCTTTTTGTATGGATGCATTCTTCATGGTGTGTCTACTGCTGTGGTCTTGTATTTCAGTTACGCAGCTCCTTCAAGCAAGCTTTTGGTAAAAAGAAATCTCCCAAATCAGCATCTTCTCATTCAGATATTGAGGAGATGACAGATTCTTCATTGCCTTCATCGCCAAAGCTGCCACACCATAATTCTACTGTTTCTACACCATTGCTGAGAGCTTCTCATTCCAATTCTCTGTAAGTGATTTCTATTTTTATTTTTTAAATGGAAAAATGGTTGGAAAGCATCTTAGTACGCAGTTAGAGGAAAAGAGCAAAATCATGCTTTTGATAGGTCCAGTGTTTATATGCTAGTTCTGTGGGACATCTCTAGGCTGCTTTCTAGAAACAAACAATGGCAAAGTGTATCTTAAAACATCCCATCCTGTTGATTCCTCTGAATGGGAATCTACAAATCTGTGAAAGGGCTACGAGAGTTTGACAGCTTTTTGATTATGTGCACTGCTAAAACCAGACTGCAGTGGAAGCTATAGCGGGTCAAGCAGGGTAGCCTTGTACATGTGTGCTGGTCTGCTCCTATTAGTTGGCCCTACTCCTGAGCAATACTTGCTTTATCTCCCAGAGAAGGGGCTGTGTTTGGCTAAGTGGATTTGATAAAGTCCTTAACCATGTCATAATGGCAAAACAATGAGCAAAGAGCAAACATTTTAACTGGTATTTATTTTGAATGTCCTGTACCCTAAGGCGAACACAGGGAAAGATGGAAGAGTTTAATTTATATATTTGGGGAATTAAAGACATGTGAGCTGACTTCCAACTTCCAGCATCCAGGAAGCTAAAAATCATTGCATCTTTACTGTGGGATAGATATTTCACTGGGGAGCTTCCTCTGCAAAACATACTGAGTATGAATAGTATGAGTAGTGACCTTGGAGTGCAGAACTAATTGGATCTCTGGCTGCTAATGATACAACCAGGCCAAGTCTGGGATTTTGTTTTCTCTCTTGGCTAAAGACAGCACATTTTATAATAATCTGCAGTGATGGAGTCCCCAGTTAAACTGACAAATTCAAATAAAGGCAAGACCTTACTGAAGATCAAATGGCATGGTTTACTGATATGGCTGAACACTTAACAGCTTGTTTCTGTTGGGCAGAAACCCCCACATCCTCCCCCATCTGCTCCTTCCCTTACACTGGTTCTTCCGCTCATCAAACAATTCCACTAAGCTAATGGAACAAGCTAAATTATGTGAAAAGTAGTTTAATGGAAATGTGAACAGTTTTTCCCCAGGTTGCTGAGTTGGATCAGCTCAGTGGAGTGATCAGACTCAGTTGAGCATCAGAGCTGGTGTAAGCACAGGGGCATGACAGCAGCACAGCGCAGCTGGCAAGAAGAGGAGTGAGACAGAGATCTGCTCCTTTTGGTGGTAGCAAGATATTTACATCAATCAATCAATAAAGGCTCATCAGTATCACCAAACCATGCTCTCCTGTCTGTGTCTGTATGTGAATGAAGTGTTGATTTTGAAGTCTGGACTTCTGTTCTGTAGCTTAGCCAACTTTACAGTCAGGAAGGTCACAGGCATTCGTGATGGTTCATTTGGGCTACCTGTGAAATAAAGTTTAAAATGGCCACCCTGAGCTGTTTGTGAGTCTAAACTTGCATTTACAGTGATCTTAGAGAACTTTATAAAATAGATTTTGTGTGTCTTCTATCAGTAACTTCTCCACTTGGGCAGGAGAAACAAATACAGAAAGTTATAAGAGGCCGTATTGTAAAACATTTCAAATAGCCTTGCAGCCTTGTAGATGCCATAGAAAACTTCAGCCTGATTTCTGTTCCAGTGTACTTAAGTATGCAGACTTGAAGTTTTGCCTGCTGCTTTCACATGAAGAGATGAAAGAAAATATCAGTAGTTTCCAGTCGAATGATAGTGATGAAATGCCAATATCAGAAGATAATTCCCCATGAATTTTTTTTAAAGCTTCTCCATTCTCTTGAATCTAATTCGTTGAGTTTCTCGTGACTATGGCAAATTGGGCTTTAGAACTCTGAGGCCAGAAGATTGTTAAATGATGGTCCCTTCCATCCTCAATCAAAATGCACTATGCGTACTTCTCATCTTGAAAAGAAAGCAAAAAGCCTAAACACAAGACAAGGAGAGCAAAAGGAAAACCTGTGTATTTCAGCATACCAGCTTTCTGGTGGAGAAAACGTCCCTCATTAACCTGATTTAAGGAGACACATTGTAAGAAAAACATCCCTCAAAGCATGCAGCTGTGTAGTTCATCGTTGTATAGATTCACTTATGAATGTGCTGCAATGTTACTCATCTGGATTTGTTCTGATTTTTTTTTTTTGGTGGGAAGAGGGAATTAAAATGCCACCAAAAATGTTTTGAGCATGAGTGCTTTAAAGCAAATGGGAATTTATCATGCTTGAATAGGTGTAGAGTTCCAAAGCCCTCCAGAATATTTCAGGAAACATTTAAAGCTTACACCTGGTGGGCTTTAAATCTTTCTGTAAAATCATCAATCTTCATCCAACTGCTGCTACTACTTGCACCTGCACCTCCTTCATTTACTTAGATTTTGCCTTTAAGATAGTTCTTTCCTGGCAACTACCAAGAATGAAATTTTGTTGGTCTCTTATGTTTCCATGACCTATTTACCATCTGATTTATGGTATCACTAATGAAATGAGCCCAAATGCTCCCTGTAGAATAAAAAGTGGTGGTTTTTTTCCTCTTTTATTACTAAGTGCTGGTGAGGCATCACCTAAAAAGTTACACGTGTTACAGTTCATGTCTGCTTTTCATTCTTTCCCAGTATTTCTGAATGCACAGACAGTGAAGCTGAAACAGTCATGCAGTTACGCAATGAACTAAGAGACAAGGAGATGAAGTTGACTGACATTCGTCTAGAAGCCCTTAGCTCTGCTCATCAGCTCGACCAGCTTCGGGAGGCAATGAACAGAATGCAGGTAGGAAATGACCACCTCAAATATCACAGTGTATGTTGATGTGTTAAAAGCTGCCCGTCCCACCACGCAATAAGTATCTGAAGGAAGGTAAATGTGAAGTTCTTGAATGCACATTAAAAATAGTGTTTAGTTTTGTAATGGTGGTAAACTTTAGACCTTCATAAAAAAGCTTGAGCTCATGATTTCTCCCTCCCTGAACGCTGCGGCGCTTACCTGTTCTAACCCTGGAAGGCTATGGGGAAACCATTCCATTGGCCTCTTTAAAAAATTCCCAAGCCATCTGCCTTAAAGTAGCTGCACCTCAGTGCTTATTGAATTCCCACATATTTGTGTTTGGTAAAACACTTAGAAAAGTTTTATGGAAGGGATGTTATACTAATTAAAATCATTAATGTGTTACAGTAAATTAAAATAATGTGAAAATGACATTCCTACTAAACTACTATATCTTCTGAAGTTGCTTATCCAGCTCTTTTTTGAGAGTGTTTTCACCATGCCTTCTAACTACTGATTTGTCTTTTCAAGAGTGAAATCGAGAAGTTAAAAGCAGAAAATGATCGACTGAAATCTGAAAACCACGGCAGCTGCAGCAGGGCTCAGTCTCAGGCTTCCATTTCTTCCTCTCCAAGGCATTCAGTGGGTCTCTCTCAACACAGTTTGAACCTCACGGAGTCGTCTAGTCTCGGTGAGTTTAATGAGAAAGATGGCGGGCAGGTTTTATCCTGCTCTTGAAAGTTTGGTTTGGTTAGCTGTGGAAAAATGAAAGCATGAAGATTAGAAACAGCTATGGTGTGGAAATATGTCAGGAGCTGGCAAAAAGCCTTCTTTTAAAATGTCATCGTAGATTTGCTACGCCCTATACTGGAGTTGTCCAATTATGACCTCAGCTGCTGAGAGTTGTGTTCAGAACCATTGAATGGGGGATATTTTGTAGGAAGGAAAATACAGAGTAATTGACTAATACTTTTCAATGACCATCTTTTTTTAAGAGTGATCTTGATATTTAGAAAGGAAGTCAGTGAACCTGGTTCTCATCTTTTACATCCAGGCACGAGAAGGTCAGATATGTTGTGTTCGACTGCGGTAGTAACATAAAGCAGAATAGCTTTCATTGTTAAGATACAGCTATGAAGCTTTTCATGTTTTCTCTTCACAGACATGCTGTTAGATGACACTGGTGATGGCTCTGCCCGCAAGGAAGGAGGCAGACATGTCAAAATAGTTGTCAGCTTTCAGGATGAAATGAAATGGAAGGAGGTAAGTTGTATTTTGTCCCGAGCTTTGACATACAAGTGACTTTGTCTTTGAATTCTGTGCTATGTTCTTATCTTGTTTGGAGGCTTCTATTGAAAAATACTTTTAAAATGTGAAAAACTTAAAATAAATATGTATTTTTTTAACAAAATAGTTTACTTGAGTATTAGTAGTGATAGACAAAGCACTTGAGCTCTCACTTCTGTAGAAATGCTGAAAGCCAAAAATACTAGTTCAGGTTGTCTCGTGTCTCATCTGCAATGGCTTTCTATTTTACAGTTTCTCATTGGTACCATCGGCACTGGCTGTGAACCAGTGTTAGTAATCCAGGCTTGCTAGGCTTTGTGTCAGTGGTGGAGCTGATAATGTTACAAGTTAAGCTTTTCAGGATCTTTGAAAAACAGGTCAGTTTTTCAGCTTCAGGGAGTTAGCAGGCTAATCTGCACATTGGGATGGTGTATATTTAAGACTGATATGTTGAAAGCTGCACAAAGCTCTTGGGCCTTTGTATTATTTAAGATTAAATAAAAAATGAGCTAATAATGGAGATGATCTAGGGGAAGTTGCAGTGAAATGCTAGAAGCAATGATAGGCCACAAGAACTTGTTAGATCCAATATCTGGTTCAAGTTGTCCTCTTTGATACATCTATCACATTTTGAATCTGCTGTCTTTTAGATGTTCTTCATTCTCAAGTAATGTAAAAAATCTTATGTTACAATATATTTGTAATATCTTTACAAATTTTGTCAAATTGCAGCCCACTTCATGTGAGTATTCATGCACAAATGTACTGCAGTGACATTACCGCCTCGCACTGAGCACTTGTCAAAGTGCATAAGGTGTATGCACTTGTGCATGTTTCATAAATTATGAAATAATTTGATATCATTTGTAAGAGAGGACAAACATTTGAATGAGCAGAAACAAAGTCAGCTCAGCTGATCTTTCTATTAAATACCAATTTTCCATCAATAAATTACAGCCCTGGGCAAGCACATTAACAGTAAAACAGTGTTGCTAATTCTCTTGGACTCCACTGAGTGCACTGTTAGTAGTGGAAATGATTCTTGACATTTTAGCTGAACTTGGAGCCTTATGACAGAAATAGTTTTTCTTCAGTGAATGTTTCACAGTGAGTGCAGCTATGAAGGAATAAAAAAATGAAGTACATTCTATTTTCTTTATCTGCTGTAGAAATCAGAAGCGAAATGCTATAATATACTGAATGTAAAGCACACATTACAGATATACCTAGAATGTCACTATGTTTCTATGCACGTGGCAGCATTTCTAGAAGTAAATCAGATAAATCTTGGAAGTGCTACATTTTGGATTGTGAAATCATGGACAAACGCGTGTTGTGAATGTCTGCCTAGAATTTTCCCACATACTTTTTGATAAGCTGTAATCTTCTCAGGGGTTTTGGAGTTGTTTGTGGATTTATTAATAAACGCCTTTAACTTATCACTGGGTACCACTGAAGCATTCCCTAGATTTGAGTCTCCAACACTGAGAAACTTATAGGGGAAAGGAGAATTTTGTATGGTATTCAGATTTTACTGTGAGGTAAGGAAGCAAAGGAAGCAACAGAACTACACCAAGATTTTAAACTTAAACAGACTTGACTGACACCATAAAGATTTATTTGTTAACTAAATAAATCCATGTTTGTTTGCATTTAGGATTCAAGGCCTCGCTCCTTCCTCATAGGCTGCATTGGAGTGAGTGGGAAGACCAAATGGGATGTTCTGGATGGCGTTGTTAGACGGTTGTTTAAGGTCAGTAAGTAACATCTGCTCTCTGCTTCAAGTCTCCAATTAGTATTCACACAGTATTTCACAACAGGAGATCTGTATGGAGGCTCAGATGTGTGTACCGCTGTGAGTTTGGGTGTATGTCCAAGCAGTGCTGAGTTGTACAAAGAGGTGGTACATAACTTGAGACAAGTCTGCTAACTTTATTTTCCATAGTTTCCTCACATGTTAGCTTCATAGCAGTTACTTGCCTATTCTCTGTGCTTTATGTTTGAGGATTAGCTTGTTATTTTAAACTGGCTTTGGACAGCATCAAGTAGTATTTAACTCAGGGTGATTATTGTCATGGCGTAGACCCTACAGGCACAGCAATTTCAATGTCTTGTAGACTTTCCCCTTCTTTTTTCACCACAGGAGTACATCATTCACGTGGATCCAGTGAGTCAGCTAGGGCTGAATTCAGACAGTGTTCTGGGTTACAGCATTGGAGAGATCAAACGCACGAATAGTGCTGAGACACCTGAGCTGTTGCCCTGTGGCTATTTGGTTGGAGAAAACAATACTATTTCAGTTACCATCAAAGGTAATGATGTTTGATCAGTCCATTGTAGTTGTCAGTAATTATGGTTTTATCAAAGCATACTGTGTCAAGAAATGCAGAGGAGTAGAAAAGTTTTTATTGCCTTTCCTTTTAATTACTCACCGTTCTGTTTTCATTCGATTAAGGCAGCACTTGGAGACTACAAAATTAGTAGATCTTCAGTCTGTAACAATAGGAATAATTCTACACACTTAGCAGCTTTCTCCAGACCTCTTAAATTGGTGCCTGAAGTTGTACTGCAGAGCACATCACATCACAGGCAATGCAGTGGAATTGTTTCAGCAGCAAGTATGCTTTGAAATCAATAAAGCTTCAGAATTTCAGTCAGCTGTTTGTAACAGACCTACTTGGCATTTCCTTAACGCGGAGTAAAAAGGACAATTTAACTTGCTTGATTCATCTCACTTGATAGTCCCTCCTTCAGAGCCAACAGGGAAAGAACGTGGAATTCATAATATATTTAACTCTGGATCATTGAAAGCAGGTTTTTCAAAATGTATTGTTTTCAAAATTCTCATCAATGTGATTGAGCATATTATGCTGATGAGAATTTAATGTCCTGTGACACTGAAATTCTCAGAGGCCTTTTTTGTACGAAAACTATCGGATGGACTTGGGGTTGAGGAAAAGTCCCCAGTCACTGCAGTCTATCAGCTTGCTCACAGTACTTGTGAATGCTGCCAAACACTACAGCTCAACTTTGAAGTCTGACTGCACATTCAGAAGTGTTTCCATTTCTGAATATTGTTGCAAAAAATCATTTCCTTGTGTTAAAAATCAGCAGTCAGGGAGGCAGAATAAGTCATGAGATATCTGAGTTTGCTGAGAGCCGCAAATATTCTGCTTACGTAGGCTGCATTGTCCAAGAGTATTAACTTCAAGTGAAATACTGCTCAATGACTGCCATACCTATGAAGTTGCAGTCTTGTCTTATGCTTAACTTGCAGTGGCTTGACTTGCACGTTAGAGGTTCGTACATGGTAACATTTTTCAATAAGATATGAATGTATTTAATCAATTTATGGGAAACCAGTTACTCACACCTTCAAGGTACAAAGCTGCCTATATAAATATTTAATATTCCATGTAACCATCGAGGTGCAAACATTTCTCTGTCTGATCTGCCAACTTCCCTTTCTTCTGTTTATTTTGAAGCACTGTGTGTTTTGTCTGAGCCAATTCTGCCTAAAGTGATTGCTGACATGGCATAAATGCTTATCAGTAGAAATTTTATGTTAGAAGAGATAGCTATCAGCAGACAGAGAAGGAGTTTAATTAGAAGTGTTTGGGAAATCAGGGGGAGTTGATGATAGCTGCTTTTTTTTTTTGTTTAGTGATTCAAAAGTAAACAGGTAAATTCTGGAGGAATGTGTGCTGCACATGACAAAATAGTCTAAAACAGATGGCTCACGTGTGAAAGATGTAGCCTGGAAATCATTGCATGGCAAAATTTCATAGAATCATAGAATGGCTTGAAGGGACCCCAAGGATCACCAAGTTCCAACCCCTCTGCTGCAGGCAGGGCCACCAACCTCCATATCTAATACCAGACCAGGCTGCCCAGGGCACCATCCAACCTGGCCTTGAACACCTCCAGGGATGGGGCATCCACAGCCTCTCCAGGCAGCCTGTTCCAGCACCTCACCACTCACTTGGTAAAGAACTTCCCCCTGACATCCAGCCTAAATCTTCCCTCCGAGGACACAATGAGACGCAGCAGAGTGCTTTGAGAACTGGGACAGCTGAAGGAAAATCCAGGTGAAGCTCACAGCTCACTTCTGCACGTTTTTATGTGGGCTGTTCCCTGTCGTGATAGCAGAGCAGGGAAGGGATTTCCCTCTGAAATAATAACTCGCTTGGTCAGGTTGGATCAACAACAACAAAAAGCTTAGAACAATGCAGGTAACCTGGATGCAAAATAGGAATTCCTACAGATGCCGCATCTCTTTCCGTTGCAGGCGTCTGCGAAAACAGCTTGGACTGCCTGGTGTTCGAATCACTGATCCCAAAGCCCATCCTGCAGCGCTACGTCTCTCTCCTGCTGGAACACCGGAGGATTATCTTGTCTGGCCCCAGTGGCACTGGTAAAACATACCTAGCAAACCGGCTCTCTGAGTATATGGTCCTGCGGGAGGGCAGAGAGCTGGCTGACGGAATTATTGCAACCTTCAACGTGGACCATAAGTCCAGCAAGGTGAGAACACAGAAATCACTGCTTGTGCAGTACCATTATCCCAAAGGAGCAACATTTAAGGTTTTCAGAACTGTGGGTTCACCCGGTGAGGGGCGTGCAATAGCAGGCTTCCAGGTGTGTATTTGAACACTGAGAGGTGCTAGGATTTTCAGGTGGCCTGAGGGTTGCTGTGGACATTAAACGCCTGCATCAAATTCTTAGCAACTTCAGAAGTCCCTATTGCAAGTGAACATTTTTCTCAAAAAACGCAGAATGCATCTCCAGGCTGCCAGAATTCCTGCAGCTACAGGTATCAGCAGTGGTAATCTGCATATGTTGTCTCTGTAGTTACTGTTGTCCAGACGCATTCCTGAGCTCCTAAGGCATGTCTCTGTTTTTATGTGCTTTGGGTTTTGCCAAATATACCTTCAGTGAATGTCTAGGCTAAAAAATAATTGTAATAAAAAAGCAGCATGTATGATGGCCTTAGGCAAATCTTGCTGGGGGAAAAGGGATGGTTGAGAGTGTGGTTGTGGGCCACTGGTTCAATTTGAGATGCGCTGTGCAGTTAGTGCTCTAAGGATGGTGAGAGCTTTTCAGCCACACCCAGTCACCCTGCAGTAGTACTCTGAGCTTATCATTCTTACTGAAGGTATCTAAATTTGGTCTCTATTGGGGAGTACTTTATACCAGATTGATTTGGTCTGGTTTGTTTTGGTATAAGCATAGTTGCAAGACCAGAGAACAAACCTAGCTGGAATGAAAGTGCCTCTCTTGCTTGGTGTGTAGAGATTACAGTACGTTCCTGAAAAAGAAAAATGTATTTCAGTCTTCCAAATGTCATATTAGGACAGCACAAATGAGACAAGAAAAAAAAAATTAAATGAAAAGACAGAATCTTAACCCTCTAGGTCCTTATCTCATACATGTCTCTGGATGTTCAGTGTAACCTAAGTAAGAGAAGGAAAACCAGATTTTTCTGCTTCCTCAGCGTGCAAGCGACAGTGGTCTCCTTCTTTAGATTTCTTGGCAACATCACTAGCTAATTTATCTTAATTGTTTTTTTTTCAAGACATATGATGAAATCTCTGGGTTTTTTTGTTCTTTGTTTTCAACGTGTGCCATGCAGGAACTCCGCCAATACCTGTCCAACCTAGCAGACCAGTGTAATAGTGAAAACAATGCTGTAGATATGCCTCTTGTAATCATTTTGGACAACTTGCATCATGTTAGCTCCCTAGGAGAGATCTTCAACGGACTTCTAAATTGCAAGTACCACAAATGGTAAGCAGATCTTAGAACACATGCCACATCCAAGAACGACATTTCCTAACTATGTCCTGAAAAAGGAAGTCTAGGTTGATCTGGTAAAGAGGGCTGAGATGGCCAGACCATCCGTATTATGGACAGCACTTCACAGATACTCTCTTCATTAAATAATCAGTTCTTCTGTAATCGATAATTTAAAAATAATAGAGGGTTTGGGTGATTTGCATTCATTTAATGCAATACGTCTTAAGTACTAAAAGCCATTTTTGGTGGAAGAGGCTGCTCCAAAACTTCAGTTTTGCTGTCAGAATTTGATGTGCTCATAAGGTATTGAGAATCTGGTTGTAAGTACAAAGTTTTCTTTGACTCACACAAAAAAGGTTTGAGTAACCCTTTTAAAGTTAAGATTTCACTACATTTACTTACTTAGTTTACAAGTTTGATGTAGTTTTTGTTTGTTTGTTTCTATTAACAGTCCGTATATTATTGGCACGATGAACCAAGCCACCTCCTCAACACCGAATCTTCAACTTCACCATAATTTCAGGTACTGTTTATTTATGTTTCTCATTTCTGTCTGCAGGCTCACAGAGTAGTAATGGCTGCTGAGTCATCTGAGGTTGTTCTTCTCAGCTGAAATAGGAGAGAAATACCATTCTCTAGTATCTGCTGCCCCAACGTGTAGCTTTATGTTGTCACAGAATCACCAAGGTTGCAAAAGATCTTTGAGATCATCCAGTCCAACCATCCCTCTACCACCAATATTTCCCACTAGACCATGTCCCCTAGCACAGCATCTTCTATTATTAAAATAACTGACATTGATAAAACCTTGACTTTTCCAAGGAATTTTAAGATATTTGATCCTCTTAAGAAGGTTGAAATATGACAATAGGCAAAGCAGATACTGAATGAGACATGAGATGAAGCAGAGCACAAGTATTTCATCTCATGAATTCATCATTTGAAAATAATTTTTGGTAAGAGTAAAGATGATTGGGATAGGCTATTTTGATCATGATAATAATCCAGAAACGATACGAAAAATGTCACCCAGAATAGTTTTGTTCTGTAGCACTAAAGAATAATGATGGACATTTTTCCTGTTCTGTCACAGATGGGTGCTATGTGCTAACCACACTGAGCCAGTCAAGGGCTTTCTTGGCCGTTTCCTGAGAAGAAAATTGATTGAAACAGAAATCAGCAGCAGAATGAGAAATGCAGAGCTGGTTAAAATTATTGATTGGATTCCTAAGGTCTGGCAACATTTGAACAAGTTTTTGGAGGCCCACAGCTCCTCCGATGTTACTATTGGTAAGTGTTCTGCCCAGTCTGTCAGGGGTTGCATTTCCAGACATACATCAACATGTGTATTTCCTCGTGCATGAAGTATAATATGCCTGGTATATTTCTTTGTACTACATGGGGTAAAATGTTCTCTTAAAAACACTGCTTTTGGACAGTAGCATATTCTCAGACAAATGGTACAAGAAGTTTTCGAACTCTTTTTGCCCATTTTGACAGACCTCTTAAGTCATTGATGCCAAAACTTGTTATGAAATGCAGCTAACTGGTTTTGCCTTGAAAGCTTTAGTCTTTTGAGTTGTTGCAGGGGATTTTTGACCTCTGAAGAAAGAGCACTTCACCAGATTGCTACGTTTGTTCTTCAGTACTTGCCTTCTTTCTCTAAAGAACTGGAAATTGTCATTTGATCCTCTTTTGATTCATGTCACAATTATTTGAGTATAATATCTGAATGTCCCTTTCCCAGGTCCACGGCTCTTCCTCTCTTGTCCAATAGATGTAGATGGTTCAAGAGTTTGGTTTACTGACTTGTGGAACTACTCCATCATCCCATACCTGCTGGAGGCAGTCAGAGAAGGGCTGCAGGTAAGCCAACAGAAATGAAGACTCATCAGTCTTGAGTAACATCTATGCAGAGGGCAACACAGCATCAGATGAAACTGAATAGCAACACAGTTTTCTGTGGATATAACTGTGCAAAGCATCTTGGAGTAAGGAGTGGAAGCACAGAAGCTGCAGACTGATTTTTTTTTAAACAGAAGTTAAATGCCAAACAATTGATGTTTTCAGTGGGAGTTAGACATACAGTACCTTTCAGTAATCTGTTCCAGGAGTACACCTTAAAACTGTACCATGCATCAGAAAAACATTTTTTGTGGTCATTTCGTTATGTAGGATTGTCCTTTGCAAATCACAGCAAATCTTTCAGCAGGGGAGGAGCAACGCCGCATACTCTGAGAAGCACCTAAATGCCTGATGGGATCAGTATCAGTGACATACTCATTATTTCTCAATCTACAGGATGAATTTTCGAGTAGATCTCTGCATAATTCTTTCAGAGTCTGTAGTGAATTCATCACTGTCTGTTCTTTGTATATCATTCATACACTCTAGCAAGTTGGATAGTTTGGGGCATTTCCATATGATTCTTAGCATCTCTTTGACTATGAAGCATGTTAGAATCAGGAGGAAAGCTTAACAGAGGTTTGCTATGGATTTACTTGCCAAGCAACTATGGAAAGAATGACTTTTTTGGTTCTTCAGTTCTCAGAATAAAAATAGCAGCACGTAATTTAAAAGGTTGTTGTGGAGACAGCGAAACCAAACACCAGTAAATTCTGGGTATTGCATACATTAAAGTAGTTATTTTTAATAAAGATTTTTTCTGTGAGAAAACTCCCTGTGTTTTTGTAACATGAAGACCCAGGACAAATGAAAGGTTTGTCCTGTTAGTGGACAGGCTCGTTTTAAAATGACTTCTTTTGCAGTGAAGCGAAATGCAAGATCACACATGCAGAAATAGAACGCTGGGTCACAGTAAGAGTGGAAGGTTAACAAAGGGCTGAAGGTAGATGGGAATTGTGAAGTGTGGTAATGTATTGGGAGCTTGTGTTTTGACGACAGATGCCATTGTAGGGACATAACCTATAATCCAGTACTGCTTCTTTGCGTAAGAAGACACATTAGAAAAGTGCAAGATGTTTAGAAAAGAGCAGCAGGTATCATTTAGGATACAGAAATCATTGTATAGTGAGAGATGAGCAGCTTAGGCTGCTCTGAGGAAGCTTAATGGATGTTTGGCAAGTTTGGACTAGAAAAATTTAAACTGAGTAAGACACAGCTTGTTATTAGTAAAAACAATTCACAGCTACAGTGTTTTACTGCAAAAGTATTAGCTTCTCCATCACACACACACACACACATATATATATATGTATATGAGGCTGTAATCTTTCTGAAACATGAAATAACTCCAAGAAGTTACAAGCTTCGTGGAGAAGCAGTTGTGTCAAAGGATTTTATATTGTCCACTTAAGAAGCACATTGAGTTTCATTTGCTGTTTCTACAGCGGGTGTTTGTGGATGTGGAAGTGAGAAAAGACAGCTTTGTCATAGAAAACTTGAGTCTTAACTCATGGCTCCTCACAGCTTCTAAGTGCATGAATTCTTCAATACGTGTTCTGGTCAGAATTTTGACAGACACAGTTTGCCATTGGAATTGTGATGGGGCCTGGAGTCCTCATCACTTTGGTGTAAGGAACGTAATCAGTGTTTAAGAATGCACAGGGGTAACTTAGCTAGAAATAGAACAGAAGGTGACACAAAGTATTTCACATAAAACTTCCTACAGGGTTCCTATAAAGGAAAGTAATAGGAGCCAGTAATTTTTTTGACCTAAAATCTGTGATGAGGGCAAATGTAATGATTTTGTTTCCTCTTGAAATGGAAAAAAAAAATGAACTGCTATCTATAGCAGTGCTTGGGCTTGTCATAGTGATCTGAAGCTCTCCGCATCAGCTGATCAGTAGGTATGGAAAATAATGATGAGAAAGCACATCAGTTAATAAACCCTCTTTGCCCTCGTTTGTCTTGCCTGCAGTCTTCATCTTTCTTTAGGTGATCTGAATGGCTTACATTCTAAGTGTAGTAAAGATTTCAGTTTCTCTCTTTTTGCTTTGAATTCTTTATCTGCTTTGATCCAATTTCCCCAAATTCCACAAATTCACTTCATTTAAGTTATTTCTTCATTTATTCTGGAATTTCTCTTTTGTTGAGTCTGTGGGGAAGAATAGAACTCATGTAGTCAAAGAGCAGTCAGAGCCCTACTAATTAACAAGCTAATGCTAGAAATGTGTGTTCCATTTTTGGGCTATTTTCTGTCCCCTACACCCACAAAAGCTCCTTTGAGAAAGCATCCTCTCATATGAAATTGCCTGCCAAGAAGGAACGGTGGACTGCTGATTTCAGTCTGATCTCTCTGGACCTAAACTGAACTATTTGTATGTTTCTGTTTCTCATTTGGAGAACTATTTTGGGTCAAAAACAAGTGAGCCAAAGGGATCCTTACAATAATTGCTCCCATTGGAACTGCTGAGGTTTTGGTTCCTCAAAACAGCAATGTGAAAATTACAGGGTTGTTAAAAAAAAAAACAAAAAAAAAACAAAAAACTTTACCCTAGTTCTTCCTGCTCTGTGTATTGATATGGAATGCTGCATCAAGAAAAAGAGGGCCTAAACTTTCTGTGGCTTCATGCAAGGAGCAGAAATCTAACAGGTTGGTTCATATAGCACCAGAGGGAAATCACTGCTCGTACCCAGTATGGCTTTCTGAGCCAACCTGTCAGATTTCTGCTCCTTCATGGCACCTTCTCTCTCTCTAGGAGGCACTCATGAGAAAGGGATAGAACTGGGTGCTGTGGAAGGGAATAGTGAGCTGGTACCTCAAGTAGATCTGTGATGATTTCATGTGCTGCAATGCAAATGTCACTTACATCTCATTCTGAGAAGTGTGGTAGGAACTACATGGACCTTCTAGGCAGTAAGGACGTGACAAATACAAAATTCTCTGCACTTACCAACAGTCATGTCTTCCTGTAAATTTGAGAACAAGATAAGGTATGAGATCTGGTTAGTCACAGCTTGAAGACATTATGCTGGGAAAACAGCACAGTGCAGATGAAGGATTAAGCACATTTTGTTTGTAAGATTGCCTAGCACCACCTGCTGGGCTCTCCCTGCTGCAGTGCTGTTCCAGAATACACTTAATGCTTTGCCACTTATGGCCACGTGAGGATCAGCTCTAGAAAGCTCCAAAGTTTGCCCTAACTATTCCTGTTTGGTAACAGAGAGGATGATAAAATTTCGAGGGTGGGAAAGAAGTAGTGATGAGCAAAAGGAGGCAGTCTTGTATCCATCAAAGAGCTGGCAAATTCCTGTCCTACACTGGTGCTTTTTTTCCCTCCATGCATTTTATAGGAAAGTAAGAGGTCTCCGAATTCATGTGACAAAATGCTAGTAATGGACTCCAGTTGTGGAAGGATAGTTGGGCCAGAAATGCGTAAAGCTGAAGTTAAAAAGTTTAAAGTCACTTCAAGTTGTACTTACATTTTTTAAAGTAATATGACATTCAAAAGAATTTATTATCTATTTAAGGCAAACAACATAACAAGAAAGATATATAGGATTCTATATATATATAGGGAAAGATATATAGGGATATAGTAACACAATCTGCTGGAAACAAGAAAAAGGTTTTGAGACAGCATACTTACTTGAAATGGAAACAGATAGCCAAATTCTGCTGGCACATTTTCTTGGTTGAGTACAAAGAAAATCTCTTGGCTTGAAAACCATGCTTTGACATCCATCCATCACTGTTGCTCGATAACAGGTATCACGTTTCCTCCTGTGCATTCTTGTAGCTGCAGTTTCACAGCAACGGTGGACAGATAAGCCAGCTGTTGTTGTGAACTGAATGTGATCGTTAACAGTCTGTCCTTTGTATTTACTTCAAGTTTAAGGCAAAAAAAAGGAAAAAAGAAAAAAATAGCCACCTTTCTGAATGGAGGTTATTTTTACATCTCCCTTTGTTCAAATGGCACCCACAGAAGGGTGCTGCAGTCTCAAAGGAGGTGGTTAGCCTCTTCAAAGCCACTTGCCACTTAAAAATAATAAAAACTTTGCCATTGGAGTAATGGCCAATCTAATTTGGTTCTGTTCAGCTCTGCTCGAAAGTTTCTTTTGCAGTCGAAGAATCATGGCTCATTCATTTCAGTTAGGTAAGCAGTGAATGAAATGGTAGGCAAATGGGAATGTTTTAAAAGAAAGTTGTTCCCTTTTCCAGCTGTACGGGAGGAGAGCTCCCTGGGAGGACCCTGCCAAATGGGTAATGGACACGTACCCATGGGCAGCCACCCCACAGCACCACGAGTGGCCTCCTCTGCTACAGCTGCGACCTGAGGACGTGGGGTTTGATGGCTACTCCTTGTCACGGGAAGGCTCGACCAGCAAGCAAGTTCCAGTGAGTGATGCTGAAGGAGATCCACTGGTAAGCTTCTCCTTTCTGAGACAGTGAAACTGCCTGGTTTCCCTTTGTTAAGGGGGACTAAAAGCAGGAGTGAAAAGATAACGGAACAGCAGAACATGTTTTAGCTTTCTCTAGCTCACGTATACAGGTACAGGCATCATTTCCAACTCAGTGATTCTGTGGTTCTAAATATCAAGCTAGAGATTTGTACCTTCAGATTAGCCTAATTCAACAGTTCTGTATGCATTTCCATGTGTCAGAGCAAGAGGGGGGAAGGATGCTTGCAGAATCTTGTGGACTAATCATAGAATCGTGCAATGGCCTGGGTTGAAAAGGACCTCAAGGATCATCTAGTTTCAACCCCCCTGCTGTAGGCAGAGTCCCCAACCACCAGGCCAGGCTGCCCAGAGTTACAACCAGCCTGGCCTTGAATGTCTTCAGGGATGGGGCATCCACAACCTTCTTGGGCAACCTGCTCCAGTGTGTCACCAGTGTGTCACCACCCTCTGAGTGGGTCAATTCAATCTCTTCATTTTTATCCTTTCTGGAAAAGCATACAATTCATGACTAATTTGTATGTTGCCATAGCATGTTTTAAATGTAATTCCTCTTTTCAGATACACAGGAATAATTACTCCAGATGTCTGTTCCTTACCTTTGCAACGTGCTGGCAAAGTGAATGCAGATGCGATTATCATATAGAGTTGATACTGTTTCTACCCTCAGAATACAATAATTATGTGCTTTTTTGCCTCTGTAGATGAACATGCTAATGAGACTGCAGGAAGCAGCCAACTATTCAAGTCCCCAGAGTTATGACAGTGACTCTAACAGCAACAGCCATCACGATGACATTCTCGATTCATCTCTGGAGTCAACGTTGTGATCTTCATCGGATAGAAATAGGGCATTTCCATGATTGCTGTCCCACTTGACAAGAATCCCAATCACAAACTCATGAAAGGAACGTGTTCCTGGGCTGGGCTGGTATCTCAGTGTTAGAGCTGCAATAACAAGAAGACACTTAGAGTCAGTCTTGAACCTGGGTGCAGGCAACCCAAGCAACATTTGTATTGTTTTTCTTCTTACAATGATAAGAGCTGCACTGTTCCTTTGTTTTCTTCTGTTTAGTTGCTGTAAGCTCTCATGCCTAAGATGCTGAAGATGCTAAAAATAGTCATCGTTACTAAAAGAAAAAACAGTTAAAGGGGGTGGATTTCACAACTATGAAGCAAACAGCTTTGTGCCATGTAGAGAAGGAGAGGGGAGAGGAAATTTTTGCCTATGCTGCTTTTGACCAAACACATTTAGGTGAGGGCTGGACTTTTACCAATCAGCTTTGCAGATTAAACTCAGCTTTGTATAGTTCTGGTGCTATAACAATACTGCTTGCCTTGGTATAATACTCCATAAAGGCAAAGCTGCTAAACAGGGAAGTTTAAATAAGTATAATAAAAGGGGGGGAGGGGGGAAGAATGAAAAGAAAAAACACTGCTCTCCTTGCCAGTCTGAGACCTTGGCTTTCTTTTGTTATGTGTTTGTAAAGATAGACATATATATAAATAGGAATATATAAAAGTATATATACAGTCTGAACAAATCAGGTTTTTTCCAGCACTGTGTAACCATCAGTCCTACTACTGGTTAACTATCAGGTGGCCCTCTGCTGGGCAGGGCCCAGTTCTCCTCCACATCCATCTGTGATGCTCAGTTGACTTCAGCGGGGGGGAGTTTCCCTCTTCTGCAGAAGTCAGCACAAGTCCTACAGCTCTACAGGACCTGAGGGAGCACAGGGGCATCCTGTGAGCCCTGTGTGCGCAGGATAGGTAGCTACACCCCTGAAGGGATGGTCAGACTTTCAGTTCTTAATTCATGCCATGAAACGTTACAGCAGTTTTCTAAAAATGTTGGGTTTTGTTCAGGGCTTTTGTTCCTGTCAGCACAACCATGAATGGATTAATTACAACTCAGCTCTGTGACAGTTCCAAGTGCTACTCTGATGACCATGTTTCCTCCCATGGCTTTTCTTTTTAACTGCAAAAAAAAAAAAAATAATAGTATTCTAGCAGGAAGGAAGGTACTGTGTCTTTTGAGTTTACCCAGGCCATGCTTTTGAGTTTTGGCAGAGCTGTGAACCTGGTTTTATTTCTCCTCCTCTCCGAATATGCACACCTATGCTCTCAGCGTTAAGGCTTTGTACTTCTGTTGGGGAACAGGAGCACCTCACCAAGAATTGCACTTTCCTCTCTGTGGAAGCTGACGCTCACACCAGCAGCCCCACCAAGCCAGCTGCACTGGGCTGTACCTCAACACAACACCATTCCTCACTGTTGGCCTGTACGAGCCTTCCCAGCTATCTTTTGGTGCTGAATTTTGAAGCGATGCCTTATTTTGTACTATTTTTTTTATTATTATTAAATTAGTGCTGTATATTCTGGGATTTTATTTACATAAACAGGGCTAAGTCATCTCTTGGAATATCGTACATTGCTGTGAATATGGTTTGGACAAGACGCTAGAATTGGTCGCAATGTGACAAAGAGAAAGGAGGGGAATGAGAACTTTTCAGGTTCATATCAATCTGCAGCTATAAGTCCTTGAAGAGCTCTTTTATCCATGCAGGAAAAGAAAAAAGAAAAAAGAAAAAAAAAAAAAAAGGATTTTCAACTAGAATAAATGCTGTCATTATTAAATTACAGAAATGTGCTGGTGTTTGTCAATGTACAGAAAAAAAACTCATTATGAACACTTCTTTAGGAGCCTGTTAATCCGTCTGGGTTTAAAGTAATGGAAGAGACAAGTTCATGCTTCTGGGACGCAGTTGGAGAGGATAGCTTGATGATACCTCATTACTTCCTGTAACATACCTGTGCTTATGTTGTCTTACTGAGCTGGTCTTGAATCTGCTCCTATTACAACTTCTAAGTGCTGATGACTCTTTTTTTTATTATTATTTTAAAGAAAAGTATTGTAAAAGAAAAATTAAAATATTTTAATGACGGGGGGGGGGGGCGGGGGAAAGCTTGCTGTTGTTGCCATTTTTAACTCTCTGAACTCTATTTCATTATGTCACTGAATGAAGTACCAAGGGCTCACTCAGCCTGTGTTCCTGATGTGGTCTTGGTACTGTCTACATGGGATGTGTCTGTATGGAATTAAACGCACGGCATGCTGGTGATGACTTACAGACAGGTTGATTTTTCCAGTAGTCCTGACAGTTCTGCCTCCCAGCACTGACCTACCTGCTACTACTGTGAATCTTGATGCCTAATCCTCCAACTCAATCCATGCAGACACTGCGTGTGCCTGTTGCAGGGCTAGGACTTTCAATGGACTTAATATCCTAGAAAACATCTCAGTTAATCTTTAACTGAGTTCTGTAAGACAAGTTTATAACGGTGTTTTTATTTGCGGGGAATGGGGTGCTTTTTTTCTCATGTTTAATCCTGTGCTTATGCCCAGGAAGGAATTTCTGTTATTATTTGGTATTGATGCTAGTTTGGGTTACAGTGAAGGGCAATGTGGAGTGGGATGCTCGTCCTCAGCATCACAGGATTCAGTGTCTTTCTGAAACTTGGGGAGGCAGGTTTACCCACAGTGCACACTTAGTTTTTATCAAGACTTCAGTCTTTCTCTAAGTGACTTTCGTCTCACTTAAGGCTTTTTCAGTGACACTTCCTTTCCTTTTGCCTTTTTTTTGTTTTGTTTTGTTTTTTTTTTCCTACAAAGTTGGCTTTTTTTAAAGGAGAACAACAAGGGAAAAAAAAAAATGAATTTCTATGCAACATTCACGTTGTGTTAAAAACTGAAAATATAAACCATTTTCTTCAAAACTGCCAAGACTGATACAGGCCATAAATGAGATGTGGTTTATCTGGGGAATGGGAGGGGGCTCATCTTTTTGTACATTTTGGAAGAAGCAAACTGGTATTTCATTGTTGATGCTTAACTTCGATATTATGTGTATGAAACCTTGTCTGAATGTGGCAATTTTCTTTCAAGAAAAAAAAAAATGCAAAAACTAAGCAAAAAAAAATAAATATCTTTGTCAATATTAAATGGAAGGTTGCTGTTTTGATCTAGTCGTTTCCAGTGGAGCAGTTTATGAAATATGTTCTATAAGATGTACATTTTTTCATTGTAACATAGAAATGTAAATATTTGATTAAAAGTGCTGCATTTTGATGAATTTTTTCTAGCCATTTTTAAAGAGAAAAATTAGGAATCGAGTATTTTGTGTACGTTTATGATGTTTTCCATTTGCTCCTCTCCCTATTTAATTTTCAGTTCTCATTTAGGATTGGAATTTGTGAATGGTCTGTTTGAGATCATGCCTCCCCTTCCTCCCCCTCCCCGTTTCTCCCCCTTCCCGCACCCCTGTGTCATGGAGAATAAAGCTGATGATTGTACCAGTCTTAAATTATTCATGATTCAATAAAATTGATGCTTATTTATTCAGATTTGTGGTTTCCCTGAACTTTTTGCCCCCTTCTTAATTGACATTTTCCATTTGAAGATGGTGAGTTTTAGTTGTTTATTGTGAAAAGATACCAGCAGCCCTGAGACATTGTACCACTAAGATCCCCAACCCCCCAGTGCCCACTGCCCATCCCCGCAGTTCTGGAACTGTGGAACTGTGAGGACTCCCCCACCTCCCTGGGCAGCTGTGCCACTGCATCACCGCGCTTACTGAGGAGAAAGATTTCCTCATATCCAACCCGAAGCTCCCCTCGTGCAACTTGAGGCCATCACCTCGTGTCTTACTGCTGTGACCTGGGTTAAGAGGGCCCCCACATCGCCACAACCTCCTGTCAGGCAGTTGTAGAGAGTAACAGGGTTTCCCCTGTGCCTCTTCTCCAGACTGAACCATCCCAGTTCCCTCAGCTGCTCCCCATCACATTTGTGCTCCAGATCCCTCACAGCTCCTCTGCCCTTCTCTGGACGTGCTCCAGGGTCTCATGCAAAGCCGATAGCCTGCTTAACTGTCTTAATAATTTGTTCTCAAAACAATAAAAGAGATATTTTACTGGTAGGTATTTGCAGGACAACCGAGAAAGGTGATTTGCCTATTGGACTTGTCTGCATCTCGTGACAAGCCTAGAAAATGATGTCAGCTAGGGCATGCCTCTATTAGAAGAAAATGCCTTGGCTGCTCATGGGTAGTTGTTAAGTCTTCTGGAGGAATTTTTTTTTTGTAGGCTGTCTTGTTCTGCTGTCTGTTTTTTCCCCTTCTCTTTACTTTTTACTTTTTCCTTCTGAGTCGCAATCATAGAATCACAGAATCACCAAAGTTGGAAAAGACCTACCACATCAACCAGTCCAACCGTCCACCCATCACCAACAGTTCTCACTTAACCATGTCTCTTGACAGCATCTAAGCGTTCCCTGAACTTGAACTGTTGCCATTTATTTTAATAGTACAGCAGTGCAAATTAAGTCAGAGCGGATTGTCAGCAATGGGATTTCACTTATCCCTTAGCAGCAGTTTTCCAGAAGCAGGAATAATTTTGGGCAAGCTCTAATGGGTTTCCATATTTGGTAATGCAGAGAACTGCATGTTTTAGGGTTGGCTCTGTAAGGCACTTCAGTCCTGACCTTGGACAGTGAATCAATACTGGGCCGGCACCAAAATGCTTAATCTCTCTCAGGAACTCCTCTTTCTTCCCTTTTTCAGCCTCCCACACTCTTTCCCCATGTTCTTTCTTTCTCTGATGCATGCTCTCTTGTATGTTCATCTTCACATATTTTTTGCTTCGTCTCACTCCTCCCTTAACCTTTATTCTGTTTCCAACATCCTATTTTATTCCTACTTTATGTCCTGCCCAGCTCCACCTCATCATTTCTCAGTGCCTTAGGATCAGTGCTGACTTCCTTTCTGCACTGGAAGGGGAAATTCCCTGGGATCACTTTATGCAGTCAGTCTGCAGACTGCGGTGTGTGTTTAAAGAGGGATGCTGAGCCCCATGGCAGCCAGCCCTCATGTGCCCAGCGGGCTGCGCTCACGCTCCACTCCTCGGCCCGTCAGCTGAGAAACAGCCCTGAAACTTTTCCCCCGTTCAAAATCCTTTCTTTTGGAGTTTGAAGGATTTTATTCATTTATATCAGATTCAGTCGTGGTCAAAAAAAGCAGCCGCCCTGAAGATGCACAATGAAGGTCGTGGAGTAGCACTAGCTGGCAGAAAGGATGCTCTTTTAGCCCTTTTTTTCCACCCAAGCTGGACATTTTATGTCTGATTCACAGGTGAGGCAGCGCCAGGTGCTAGATCAGCTGAAATCAGAGCAAATCAAGAAAGCAGATCAATTTTCTGCAATCTTCTGTGTTTCACAGCAGTCACTTTGGCCCAGAGTGTGTTCAGTGGGGGAGAAGGGGAAACAAAATCAGGAGTGAGACCATGCTGAGCTGCAGCACTGTCAGCCTGTGTGTAGGAATGAAAGGGCTGCCTGCTGCATCGTCTGGTGCTGGGCAGCCACCATCTTCCTCTGCCCTGGCTGCTGCACTGCTGACATTGCTCCAGCCTCATCGCCTCCCTGTTCTGCCTGAATCGCCACACAGAGGCTGCGAGCTCCCGAGTCTGACCTGAGTTCTATGTTGTTCTCTTTTCCCCAGAAATACTGTCCTGCTCAGCCCCTCATCTTGCCAGTGTTGTCTTGGTCTTTCCTCTCTAAATATCACAAAAAATGCTAACATAGCCTGCTTGTGCTGAGGAGCTATGAGAAGGGGGAAGGAAAATTGAGCTGAAGCTTACCATGGCCAGGTGGTATATCTTGATTATTGTCAGCCCCAGGCTTTTAATATTACGTCAAAAAACCGGTCAGTCTTGGATGTGACTTCTTTTGGCTTTTCAAGGTCCATTGCGTAGTAAAGCAAGTGTAAGTAAGCAGCATTGCCTCTTCTACCTCTAGCTTATGAGCTGGGGCACATGGAACCACCAAGCTGCACAGTCTTTTAGGTACAAAGGTAGCCAGTTCTGCAGACCTTAATTAAAAGCACCTTTTTTTTCTTCTTTTCTCTTTTTTCTTGACTGTTAGATCACTGACTCCATCTCTGTGCTATTTTTGCATGCATTTATGTGAACAGCCCAAGTACTGGAAATCAGCAGGTGCTGTAGTTCATACTGCAGTGGCTGATTAAAATTAAGCAAAGGGATGTTCAGATGCCTTGCTTCAGCTTTGTCTTATGAACATTATTTTCTTAGAACAGGCCCTTATCTTTGTTTACCTTACCTTATCAAATTACTGCAGTGTTGCTAAAAAATGGTTTTATTTTGTTTCCCTATTTGGTCCCAGACTCAACCTACACCAACCTGCAAATGGGATGCATGCATTGCTAAATGGCCGAGCTTGGAAATCTACATTCTTTTATTTGGTAGTCATTCATTTTATTATGTATACACATATTTAAAGTCTGTACATGGTAAAATACAAAATAAAAGTTTCTTTATAAGTTACACGTTTAAGCAGCTGCATTTGTTTGTAGTTCAGCCATCATTTCATTGGAAAAAAAAAAAAAAGGAAACCTTATTCAGCCATTGCTACAGTCATTCACAATAACCTTGGTATAAAACATCCATACAGAGTAAGTGTACAAAATAGCGTACAGTTCATATAAGCTGTGCAAAGACAGCAAAGTTCAGTCAAAACCAAAGAGGCATATCCCCTTTCCTCTGTCCACAGCACATAGCAGAAGCCAAGCGGAAAGCAAGCACAGGCCTGTGGGCAGAAAAGTGAGTTAGACAATGCTGCGTCTAGAGAAAGGATGTGTAAATTAAATTAAAAAACACCAACAGAGAAGGTCCCCACTACACAAGGCACACTGTTATACCTGAAGGCGATTGTGGTGGTTCCCGTGGGTCTGTGGCAGGGTGAGGGTGAGAAGGGGGCAGTGGTTTGTCTGCACATCTCATGGACATCCTTTGCCCTGGGATGAGACGATCACCAGATCACAGCAATCCTCAGGTTCTGAGCTCTTGGTAGTAGCTGGGAATTCAGTTGGAAGGTGGGAAAATGGCCACAGCAACTGCAATTTGTTGGCATTGGTGGTGTTTTGTCTCTGGAAAAAATATTTCCCTGCTATAAAGGAAGGAACTGTCTGCTCCTTGCTTTCAGGCTGATGCAGCTAATTGAGCAAATATTGGTGGTTAAGCAGAGAGGAATGGCTTTGAAGAGGTCAACAGACACCGTGGGTGTGAAAGCCTTCTTGTGGGACAGAAAAATCAGGAATACCTGGAACAGGAATGCTTATGGCCATGTGATAGGGAAACTGCCCTGGAGAAGCACGTGGACATGCAGGTGGGACATCACCTCTTCAATTTATAGCCCTCTGTTATGTACACCTTCGCAATGTTCCCATGTGATGGTAGGAGCAGGTGGGCAACCTAAGAGACCGTTATCTCTTCTTCTTCTTCCTCCCCTTCCTCATCCTCTTCCTCTGAGTCCGAGCAGTCTGAGGGTTTGCTGGGGCTGCTGGAGTGGGATGGAGAGGGAGGTGTCTGGGGACCCAGCCTGTCCCGCAGGTGCTGCGGGGCTGGGTGGTAGGGCAGCAGGTGCCGGGGGCTGGGGGGGCATGCCATGGGGCCTTCCTCCTCTTCCTCCTCCTCCCCTGAGCACTTCTTGCCAACGTCGCTGAGGTCTGGGTGGGGGTTGAACTTGGTGGGTAGGGTTTGCTCTCTGCAGCCACCAGAGGAGAGGAGCTCTCTTTCTTTGGAGTTCCTCCACTTCATTCTTCTGTTCTGGAACCAGATCTTCACCTGAGGGTGGAGGAAGAAACTCAGAAACAACTCAACTCAGTAACACGGGGAGCAGGGAAGGCCTTCAGTCCCATCCCAAGGAAGGGGCACGGAGGTCTCACCTGTGAATCCTTGAGACCCAGCTTGGCCGCCAGCTTCTTCCTGTCGGGCTTGCTGATGTATTTCTGCTTCTGGAACATCTTCTCCAGTGCCTTGCGCTGCACATCGGAGAAGACGGCGCGGCGCAGCATGCCACGGCGCGGCTTACCGCGGGCGGCCAGCGGCCAGGAGAAGGTGCCAGGGATGGGCACGACGGCAGAGGCAGCTGCAGGGCAGGAGAACGGGCTGAGCGGGGACCACGGCCGCCAACCCAGCGCCAGCAGATCCGGGGCCCGAAGGGAATTTTACGCTCAGATGGCCATTGCCTTTCAGCGGGCCATAACTGGGATTAAGGCCATCAGCTCAAACGTGGGAAATGGCTCGATGGTGGCCTGTTTTGTTGAGGGATTCAAAGGGCTCCGGCCTCAAAAGGCGAGGCGCGGCACACCGGCTGGGGTGGAGGTGTGGGAGAAAAGCTTTCCCTCTCAGTTGTGGGTTTTTTTTTTCAGAAGCTTTTATCATTTCAGGCATTTTCTTAATGCTTGAGATGAAAATGAGGACTTTTCTGGTCAGAACAAAACCAGCCCCTTTGGACTCAGTTTTGATCAATCAGTATTCTTTTTTTTTTTTTTTTTTTTTAATATATTAATCTCTCTCCCTCCCCCCAAGTTGGAGAATTCAATCCGGAGACATGAAAAGTAACAGCTAATTAGCACACTGCCTGGCTCCCCGTGGCATTTGTATGATAAAAAGGGCAGAGTTTCCTCTTAAAAAAAAAAAAAGAAAAAAAAAGAAAAAAAAAAAGTGTGGTGGTGGGGAGAACCTCCCCAAGAGAGACAGAGATGCTAATGAAGCGTGAATGGTAATTGTGTAGTAATGAACTAACAGAAAAAGACTGAGGACAAGCAGCTAACGCCATATATTATTGGAACAAAAGAGATTTACACTTTCAAACTAAACACAACGGCATGCCGGGCTCCTCGGGAGAATACTGATGGCACAATCGTCTCTTTCCCCAAATCATTTTCATTAAATGGACATGAAAAGCTATTTATAAAGCTCAAGTTGTTTTTGTTAGGCTATTCACACGCCGGAGAAAGGGAGCAAATTCCATTATCCGGAGGATGAATGGAAGAGCTGGGGTTATTTTTTCCTCTCTCTCTTTCCCCGTTTTTTCTTTTAAACTAATAGCTTGTGTAATTAGATTTAAAAGAAGAAGAAGAAGGGAAAGTTCTCCGCATGTCCGTAAGGGCCGCCGCCAGGCCCAGGAACGCGCGGCGGGTGCACGCGCGGCCCCGCGGGAACGCGCGGCTTTGCGCGGGCGCGGCGGGCGCTGTCCGCTCCGCCAGTGGTGCTGAAGGCGACGGCGGGGAGGGAGGGAGCGGGCGTGAAGAAACGGGATGGTGGGCAGAGGAACGTCGGTTGGGGGGAGAGTGCGCAGAAGCCGGGGGGAGGGGGAGGAGGTTTTCTAGACCTACCTGGAAAATAGGAAGATCTGATGAAAGGCTGGAAGGATCCTTCAAAGTACGGAAAGGAGAAAGTCTTTGGAGGGACGCTTTGAAGCAGGGCAGGAGAGGACTCTAAGTGAAGAAATAGAACGAAATCATGAGGGCTGGCAGAGGATCGACCCGGGAGAGCTCGGCGGGGCTGGGCTCACTCTGCCGCCTGGCGCCGCGTTCCCTCCCGAGCAGAAACCCCGGCTCCTTCGGGGTCCGCCGCTGCCCAGCCCCTTAAGTAGGCGGCGGCGAGAGGGTCCTTCCTGCCCCCACCCGCTCCCTTCTCTTCCCCCGGCGGAGCCGCTTACCCGCGCGGGGGGCGGAGGACAGAATGGCGTTGACCCCGAACTTGAGGAAAGTGGAGTCACTGCCGGAGCTTTGGGGCGAGCAGATCCTCCTGGCCGCCGTGCAACCGGGCAGCTCCGGTGTCCCCGAGTCCGTCCTGGGTGCCGAGGCCGGGGGTGACATGCTGCTGGGCGGGGGAGCGCTGCGGGGAGGGTAGGCGCCGGGCCGGCTGATCCGGATCAGGTCCTCCACCAGGAAGCTGGAGTGGCTGGAGAAGGCGGACTGCAGCGACTGCGGCAAGGTGAGGGTGGGAGTGGGCCGCAGCAGGCTCGGGTAGACGGCCGGCGGAGCGATGAGGCTGGGGAACATCATCGCATGGGCCGTCCGTCCGTCCCTCCGCCTGTCTGACTGTCCGCGAATAAAGATCCCACTGGCGAGCCGGGCAGGGTTCTCTGTGCCCTTCCTCCTGGATGCGGGGTTTTATAGTGGCCAGTCCCGCTCGGGCTCTTTCAGCGGTGACAGCCCCAACAATGGGGTTCAACAAAGTTCTCCACTCGGGCTTCATTCAGCGGCCGCTCCGGGGCTGCCCATTGGTTCGGGGCTGCAATTTATGATTGGATTAGGCTTCATAAGCACCCCGCGCACAATGGCCGCGCCACAAAGAAAGTGTAGTCATCAATTTTGCATATTGACCGCCTCTTTGGAATACGTCGCTCCAAAGGCTCCCAGCAGGGTTTTGTTCCGAGGCAACACACACAGGCTAATTAAATGCCTATTTAAAAGTTTCCAGTGACATCTTGCCTCATAGAAAGGGAATTATTTAAAGAAAGCACTAAATTTATTTGCCTCTCCCCCGCTGAGGTTAGGAAATAAATCAATAAATATTCATCAAAACCGTCAGAAAAGCTTTCTTTTTTTTTTTTTTTTTTTTTTTTTTTTTTGGTTGCATAAAACACAAATGGGAAAAACACAGCATTAAACTACGGAGGGAGGACGGAAATGTTCTGAGCGTGGTTCAGATGTGCTCTGCTCCGTGCTTGCAGTGCTTCGGGCATGGTATTGGCGTAGTGTTGTTGGCGTGGTGTTGTTGGCGTGGTGTTGGCATGGTGTTGGTGTCGGCATGGTGTTTTTGACGTGGTGTTGGCTATTTTTTCCTATCCACGCGTTTGAAGTCGGCTATAAAATGGATCTGCAGCTTTCACTTCTACTTTCTGGGGTCTGACACTCATGAGGGTCCTGCTCAGGTGCTCGGGCTCAGAGTCAGAACTCGCTCCAAGAAAACGGGAGCGTTGAAAACAGCAAAGATGTTAAGAGCGCAGTAGGAGCAGAGCAGCCACCGCAGGTTCTCAATATGTCTGTCCTCGTCTCACGCGTACTAAGAAGAGTGGTAAGAGCTCTCCCCCACCGTGAAAACGAAGGGAATGCTGCTGTGTTTAGGAAGTAAATCGGCCCGAGTTGGGCCGGCTCTGCGCGCACCGGCAGCCGAGTTTCCCCGATGTGTGCGGGACCGGCCCGCCGCAGGGCATCGGCAGCAGAAAAACGCGAAATCGCGTATTTTCTGGCGGATTGGGTTCATTTTTAGCGGCAGAGATGGAAACGGGCGAGAGGGTATTTAGTTTCCTTTGGAGCCGGGGGATGAAAGCGAGTATTGAGAGCGCCCCACACCTGATTTCTGTGTTAAAGAATATAACAGATGTGTTAAATGTCCTATGTTTTAAAAGCGCCCCATTCAGCCCTTTGGTGGGGCTGAACCTTAGCGAGCAGAAGTGTGCAGCTCAGCCATGCAGCCTTGATCCTATTAACCATGAACTAACTGTCACCTTCAGCTGTTTTCCCTTTTTACTTTTTAACACAAAGCTTTCTCAAAAATCTTATTAACCAGCTTTATTTCTCCCGATGCTTTTTGTCCGCCCGTTTTGTGCCAGTGATCTCCATGTCGATGCTTTAACCATTCAAGAAAAGTGCATCTGCGATTTATATCACATTAAGGAAGAAAGAAAGTCTGTTAAACCTCTCCCTCGATTCAAATCAAAAAGTTATTTACCAGAGGATGGAATCGGCCCCCGAGCTCGAGCGATGCTGACACATCTCCGGGCATCTGCGGAGGGAGGGAGGGAGGGAGGCGGGGGGCTGGCGGCCCCGCTGTTGATGAAACCTCCCCGGGTTTGTTAATCTCGGCACTAAGCAGGTAAAGGGCGAGGGCAGCGCGGCGGGACCCCAGCACCTGCCTGGCTAATAGCTGGGGATGGGGGGGGGAGGCATGGGCTGCCCCGTCTCTCCCGCCTTCAGCCTCCCTCTTGCCTCCCTCACGGGTTATTTCAGCTCTATCCAGTCCGTTCCAGGTGTGGAACGAGAGTCAATGGGAAAAAAAGCGAGCGGGGCTTTCCCCATACAAGTAACGCGCTGTCCGTCCCCCCCCTCTTCCTCCCTTTGGCCCTTCTCTCCCCGCTCTGCCCTTCCCAGCCGCGCGGGGCCGGCTCCTCTCAGTGCTTTACAGTCATACGGGGCCCTCTGAGATGGTTTTCTCCTTTTATTTTTTTCATTTTCCTTTTTTTTTTTTTTTTTTTTTTTTTTTTTCCGATACATCGGGGCTGTTTCGCCTCGCTGTGCACCGGCTGCTGCGCATTTCGCCTGCCTCAAGAAGGGGCTCTGACACGCTGGGTTGCGCTGGGTCAGGCGCACGCTGGGGCACACGTGGACCCGGTTCCTCGCGATGCGTCTGAGCAAACTCTTAAAGAATTCCTTAAGCACCACGGCAAAAGGGACCAGAGGTCTATTGAAAGGGACGAGAGGCCGCGAGGAACCAAGAAATCAGACGAAAGGATCTCATTTTCAGCGATCTCTTTTGGAAGTTTCTTTTCAAAGGCGGTGATCACTTAAGAGAAGGGAATTCTAATGTCTCGGGATAAAACCTGTGACTAATGCCGTTTGACCTATGCTCATGCGGTTTTGTGCTTCCTGCCATTCATTTTAATGTCGTTATCTTCAAATTTATTTCTTAAAAGTCACTCGCTTTCTTAGGCGAAAAAAAGAGGGCAAAAAGAAAAAAAAAAAAAAAGGACGAACGTCGGCGGTGGGGCCGAGGGGCGGCGGCAGCCTGCGTGTGTCCCGGGCCGGGGTTGGTAATCCGCATGAAATTGGGAGAGCCTCCACTTCCAGCGAGGACACGGAGCGCCGGGCCCGGCTCCCGGAGTGCTGGAGGCGACGCGGGGCCGACCCGAGCCGGGAGGGACGAAGCGAAGAACCTGGGCTCTGCGCTGCTCCGAGCACCGGGAGCGGCCGGGAGCCTCGACAGGGCTGCGCTGCGACACCTAAGGCTGCACCTTTAGAATTCAGCACAAGGAACAGAAATTGGTGGTTCGCTCAAAGCTTTTCTAGATCCAACACCCCCTCCTTCCTTCTCCCCCCCCGCCCCCCGGCCTTTTTTTTTTTTTTTTCTTTTTTTTTTTCTTGAAAATCCTTCTATTGTGCCAATCAAGCAGATGGTTTGCAGGAAATATAGCTTGGCCCCAGTGACCGAAACTAATTTTAACTAGCTTTCCAAGCCTGGCACGTTTGTTTTGCTCTTACAAAATAGCTAAAAAAACAGCTGGCAAGGGTGAATTAAACCCATTAAAGACACATTTATAAGAAATTATATTCACATAGGTTGCTCGAACCCCCCTAAGAGGGGAGAGATGAGAGTATTGAAATGAAAATGTCCCCGAACACACTACCCTCCTTAACATCGCCTGAGAGTCTCAAAACATTTTACTAAATAGATTAACTTGACCATTGTTTCGCATCACATTTATCAGCTTCATTAAGTGAATAGCTGAACAAATATATTACGCATGCATGAAAAGCTCTTTTGGGGGCTGCCTTATTGTGTCCTCAGCCCTGACAGGTGGTTAACTGTGTTTCTCTCTCCTCTCCCCCCCTCTCTCTCTGCGCAAAGAAAGAGGGATCTTGGATAGAGCGCGCGGCCCAGACTTGGCAGAGGGACCTGGAGGAGAGAGTTACTTTCTTCTCCCTCGCCATTCATCCTGGCCAGCCCAGAGAGCTCAGGGCCTGAAATGCAACCAGATGATCCCGTCTTGTCAGAAGTAATTAACTTTAATTTAGTCCCTGTGTCTCGCTTACACTTTGCTAACTCCTCCCTAGCCTGTTTACTTGACACCCTTTCTTGCAGATGTGATAATTTTTGCTCACCTCATCCGTTATCCGTTCCCCAACCTGCACTCTTGTTTTAAAATAGCAATATTCCAGGCTTGAATAATCCTCCTTCTTTCTTCTCCACTGGTCTGGCTAACAAACAAACAAACACACAACCTCCCTATTGCCAGCTTCTTTCACAGAGCTGGGGTTTGCAGAGCGCAACACAGTGCCTTTTTCTTTGCCCTCATTTCTTCGAGGACAAGGGGAAGCAGTACCTTCCTTCTTACTTTCTCCAACATGTATTTCTCTGCTTCCACTGAAGTCGGTGCAGAGAATTAAAGGATTGCCCCCACCCCAAATCAGATTTCAACTCTACTCCTACTAACTGATTGCAACACGAAGTGGTGATCCTTTGCCAGTGGCAGTGGCAAATCTCTCCAGAACCAGCTAGAATGGCTCCAGGACCAGCCTTACCACTGCTGTACTCGTCCACAGGTGTCTGACAAACTGTGGTACATCCATGGAGGAGGAGACTACATGTGCTGGCCTTTTTGGAAAAGCAATATAGAACATATTTTATTTCTGGAACTTTGACTGAAGAAGAGAGATGAGAAACTTCGTCCTGCAGGGGGTTTCATTTCATAGAGCCGATGAGAAATGAATCAGAAAGCTGTCCATGCATTCTGCTCTAAGTTCCTTTGTGTAAATTGGAAAGGCAGATGAAAGTAGGCAGCCGTGTTTCTGTTTGTCCTTGTGGGCTGCTTTTTGCTGATTTGAGATGTTTCAGACAGAGAAAACCATGGAGAATGGAATAGTCGTGGCTGAGGAATGAATAGCTTTGTAGTCTTGTGTACCACTGACATCTCTTCGGGCCTTGCAACGTGATCCAAGTCCAGATCTTTGGATTCAGAGCCATCAGTTCCTTGTAGAGCGTGAGTAAGAGTTGTTCTCTTTAGGAAACACTTGGCTTATTGCAGAAACCGGAGCAGGGCTGCCATTCTTCTGGGCTTTGCTTTGCAGATGTTGTGGCTTCCCTGTATTTGGAGATGAAGGTCTCTCTTTTTTATCTCTATTTTATCACCAGGAAAAGTTTGTCAGGTTCTGATCTCACATGCACTTGTAAGATTTCTTTGACATAACAAATACTGGACACTTCAGATGGGAGTTTAGCCTGTAGGAAGTGTTCCTTCTCAGAGAATGGTGCTACTATCAGACAATGCAGGAAGAGATACCAC